TTTGGTTCTTTCGGTAAAGTCACGTAGAATGAGAATAAAATAATACATTGATAAAATAAAATAACAAAATATAATAACAAAAATATTATTGTGTTATTTTATCAATTTATTATTTTATTCTCATTCTACGTGACTTTACCGAAAGAACCAAAGAAGATGCTCTTGCAGTGACATGAAGCGAATCGCACAATTGGGTTGTACTGGGGATTTAGTTTGAATGTAAACGGGGTTTACCATCTCCCCCAATCGCTTTATCGCTGCTTAACAGGTGAGACTGGTTCCCTTACGCATCAGTAGTGCGGTGGGGGGGGGGGGTTGCGGAGGCCTTTATGGATTGTTTTGCTGTTTGGGAGGTAAACCGGAGTACCCAGATAGAGCCCGCCACGGACACATGGAACAAAAAAAAACACGGGGCCGCACAGATGGGTTCCCGAACCCCACTTGCTGCACTGCCCAGTGAATTTCACAAATCTCCACGTGATCCACCCAACCCCTATCCCCCAAAGCACTGGGCCACAAGCGTTGCAGGGCCATCGCACGCGTCCCCCAACGCTGACGAAAGCCCCGAACACGTGCTACAACAATACAGGAATTGCACTCGATTGCCGACGGCCAAAGTCCGGTTGTGCGTCATTCAAAACGTAGTGACGTCATCGCGCAACAACCGTCTCCTCCCGGCGTGACGTCACGGACACGAGCGCGCGGGCGCCCCCGCCCCGCACTGCGGCACGCGCGCGCGCTGCGTGCGTTCGGCTCGTCGAACAAAGTAGTGCCGCGTTTGCACGCAAGCGGTTTTAACAAAAACATCGCATCAGTACCGAATTAAAAAAAAGGAGCGAGCTTCCTTGGCCCGAGCGCCTCGTCGTTGAAAGCGACGGCGCGTCAAATAAACCGCAGGGCGATTACTGAAAAAAATAAAAGCGCCAATTAACCCCCACCACCACCAACACGGGCGGCGGCGCACTGATTTGGTCGGGTGCGACCCGGTTGTGAAGTGGCGGAAGAGGCGTTTGAAATTCTCCCCCCCACCCTCTCTCAACCCCACCCCCCCACGCAAGAACACGTAACCTAGCAACCCTCGATTAGTTATGCAAACGATATGTAAATTATATGCAAACGTGCTCTGACTAATTCACCCTAAGGGAACGGTTCTTAACCTTTTGATTTAAAGCTTTCGTGACTGCAGTAATTCATATTCTTAGCTCTTTCGGTAAAGTCACGTTGAATGGGAAACAATAAAATAATGAAATATATAAAACAATAAAAATTCTCACGACGTTTCGACCATAACACAAACGGTCATCATCAGGTGTGAAAACCAACACCTGATGATGACCGTTTGTGTTATGGTCGTTTGTGTTTTGGTCGAAACGTCGTGAGAATTTTTATTGTTTTAAATATATTATATTATTTTATTGTTTCCCTTCAACGTGACTTTACCGAAAGAGCTAAGAATATTGTTCTTAACCTTTTTACCGCAGCCTTTCACCCCTTTGGTTATCAATGGCAGTTAAGGGAAATGCATGTTTCATCAAAACGTAGGTTTGATTAAACAAAGTGGTAGTTTAGCACGTGAGCTTTCGCGACCAATCATCCGTAATAAGAGTTTTTGTTTGGGTTAGATCGCGTAAATCAAAACGTAGGTTTGATTAAACAAAGTGGTAGTTTAGCACGTGAGCTTTCGCGACCAATCATCCATAATAAGAGTTTTTGTTTGGGTTAGATCGCGTAAAATTAACCCGCCGACACAGCCAATTAGCAAGGTTTGTCACGTAAACACAACGTGCCAAATCGTTACTAGTACAGCACACCGGTGTGTTGGAGAGCAAAAAACACATTTATAATCTCAGTACGACGTTACAAGTTGTAACTTATGTGCACGTTTCTTAATGTGTTTTCGATGAATTACCTTTAAATAATAAAAATAAATCTAGCCACGTCTCGCTACCCCCAGAAAGGGCATCTCGCACCCCCAGGTTCAGAACCACTGCCCTAAGGAAACATAATCGGCGACGTTTTGGGCAATGAACCTTTCTTCATGACACTTTACACCACTGGGCCTGGCTGATATGAATAACAAAGCTTTCTGATTGAATGAGTAAATTGACATATGAAAATGAATGGCAAGCTAAGCACGTTTGAGGGTTGGATAGTACCATTGGATTGGTAAACACCATGCACGATCATGGTTACGCTAGATTGGGCTAATGGAGCCAAAGTAAACATGATCAGAAACATCGTAACTCAGAATGATGGAAATTAATCAACTTTCTAAGGGTTGTGTAATTATTATATTCCCAGTTTCTCATACCAAGTACATCACTGGAAATTATGCCTGACGTGTACGCGATCATGTACATCCTATTTGTCAATCTCCTCACTCCAGAGCGAGTTGATGGCAAAGAGGAGCACAGAAGTAACAGCACTACAAGAGATCGTGCAGCGCGCCGCCTTCTCTGCTGGTCGCTACGTGGCCCAGCAGAATGTGCCAGGCTAGGTGCACTTTGGGACCACGTGAAGTGTCGAAGGATCGCCGCTGGCTGCAGGAGGCCACCGGGGCCAGACCCAGGTGGTGTGCCATCGGTCGACTGAGGGAAACGACTGGCAGACGCACCAAGCATGTGGTCACCATTCCGTGTCAACCACTCAAACAACAACAACAACAACCGCCATTCGCCACTAAGTTGCGGCGACGTCACAACGGCGCCTGTGCCAGGCTACGTGCACGTTAAGGCCACGTGAAGTGTCGAACGCCCGCTGCCAAGAACCCAGCAAGGTGCCATGCATGGGTCGACGTGTCCCGAGGAAAACGAACGACTCGTCCCGTGCTGCAGGCGGGTGGGGAAGTTCGGAGGAGTGCCGCGGGACCGGAACAGTTGGCGAGGGAGCGCGCGCTTGGCGGGAAAGCGTGAGAAGGACGCGGAGGAGGAGGCGGGAAAGCGTGAGAAGGACGCGGAGGAGGAGGAAGAGGCGGGAAAGCGTGAGAAGGACGCGGAGGAGGAGGAGGAAGAGGCGGGAAAGCGTGAGAAGGACGCGGAGGAGGAGGCGGGAAAGCGTGAGAAGGACGCGGAGGAGGAGGAAGAGGCGGGAAAGCGTGAGAGGACGCGGAGGAGGAAGAGGCGGGAAAGCGTGAGAAGGACGCGGAGGAGGAGGAGGCGGGGAAGCGTGAGAAGGACGCGGAGGAGGAAGAGGCGGGAAAGCGTGAGAGGACGCGGAGGAGGAAGAGGCGGGAAAGCGTGAGAAGGACGCGGAGGAGGAAGAGGCGGGAAAGCGTGAGAAGGACGCGGAGGAGGCGGGAAAGCGTGAGAAGGACGCGGAGGAGGAGGCGGGAAAGCGTGAGAAGGACGCGGAGGAGGCGGGAAAGCGTGAGAAGGACGCGGAGGAGGAGGAAGAAGAGGCGCGAGCTCGAGGAGTTTCCGGCCGGCGCACTCGCTCGCGGGTTCCGTGACCTCAACCCACTCTAACCCCGCCCCTCAACTCCTGACCCCGCCCCTCAACTCCTGACCCCGCCCCTCAACTCCTGACCCCGCCCCCTCCACCACTAAACACCGCCTCTCCACCTCGTGACACCCCCTCCCTCCCCCTTCTTTAACTTCCCTAAGCCCGCCCCTCACGGCCGAGTTCCCACCCCCGCTTCTCGCAGCTCCGTCCCTCACCCTCCGGGCCTCTAACAATTCTATATTTTCCCTTCTTCAACGAGAGACCGCCGCTATCTTCCCTCCAGCCCCTCCCCCTCCACTCATAGCCTCTCCCACTTATCATTTAACTCCGCCCATTTACAGCCCTGACCCGTAACCGCACCCATAGCCCCGCCCATTTATCGCGTAAACCCGCCCACTTTCTACGTACCCCCGTTCATTTACATCCCTAACCCTCGCGCCCCCTCCCCACTCATATTCCCCGCCTATTATTTTTTACTTAACCCCGCCCACTTTCCCATTAACCCCGCCCATTTACATCGCCCCCAAGCCCGCCCCTCTGCTCGAGCCCTCGTGCCGTCCGTTGAGAGCGGAGGAGCGAGTGGAGAGCGGCGGCGCGCCTCTTCACCTTCTCGCAACTCGGGGTGAGGCGAGGCGGCGAGCGGGATAGTAACGCGCCCCCGTTGTTGCCGTGTTGTTGTTGTCGTCGTCGTGCGGGAGCCCGCGAGGTTAAAGTTGGCGTCGTGCGTTTGTGCATGGCGCGGTTGGTGGTGGTGGGGGTGGCGGGCGGGCGGTCAGACCGAGCGGCGCCATGTTAAAGGGAACGCGCTGGACGTCGCCGCAACGTTTGAAACGTTCTCCGTTGTACTGCGTTTATTTACTGCTTATGTACCCGTCAGAACGTCACGGTCGTTTCGGAAGGCGCGAAACGACCGTGACCGTTCCGCAAAAAAACGCGCCGCCGCCGCTGCTGTCGCGTTAACGTCGCAGCTTCAACGTTTCCCTCCTGACGACCGCGCGCGCGCGCCCGCCCGCGCCTTTGCTGTTTGTCGAGAGGCGGTTCGCGCCGCGCGTCTTCTGGAAGCCTCCGTTAGTCGTCACATTATTCGAGCCACTTACCGTAACACCGATTCGAGGCATTGATTAACACCGCCGATTGTGGAGGGTTTTTTTTTTTAGGCTGAATGGTTTCGCGCTACCAACCACCCCCCGTCACCGTGGCTGGGTGTTTTTTTCTCTCTCTCTCTTTCCCCCCCAATCAATTCGTTATCACCCGGGCGGCTCGACTAGCGCAGGCCTCCATCGCGGTCGCCCGTCACAAATGTTGCACGTGCGTCGTGCGTCTCCCCCGGACGTTGCGGGGGGAGCGGTGGTGTAGCTGTTAGCGCGCTACGCTACGAACCCGGGGGCCCCCCCCCCCCCCCCCAAGGTCGATTGTCCGCTCACGGCCAATATCGGTGACGGATTATCTGAACCGGTCCTGGGCCTCCCTTAGGTCGACTCGGCCTCAAATGTGCAGCCGGCGCGGTGGTGTGTAAACATCGCCACTGGGGGAGACGAAGGCGGTCGTGCGTGGTGTTGGCCATCCCACCCCCTCGTGTGCCGTGTCGGCCTTCATAGGTGCTACTCGCTAATGGCACTCTTGTCCTAACAGTCTGTTAAAGTTATGCGGGGGAATCTTTGATTGTTCGTCACGTACGTTGCAACGTGCACCGCCGCTATACCCCATGTGCAAGATTATTACGGTATATACGTACGTGATCGTTCACGTGTGCAGGGTCACACGAATTTTAACGCGGGCAAAAAAAAGTTAATTACACGTATGAACGTGTCCCTTGGTTATTTACACGATTGTAAGTGCAAGGTTACGTCCACGCTGGAAGCACTCGCGATTATATGCACGACTGTTAGGGTGTTCAAGGTTATTTGCACATCAAATACATGGATAGGAGCATACGATTATACGCACAATTTCATCTGTGTGCCAAGGTTATATGCGTGTTGACAAATGTGTACAAGGTTATGCATACTGCAAGGCTATACACGTTCATACATGTTGATTTGATTATACACTTGAACCTGTGCAAGGTTTTATATATATACTTATTAAATTGTACGGTGCATGCACGATTACAAGCGTTGATGCATTTTCAAGGTTATGTCTACAAGGGCGTATGCAAGCTTTAACTACAGATAAACCTGTACAAGTGTGTGGACATGTTTACACGGTTGTGTGCACGTTTACAAACTCGTAAATACGACATCGCATTGTCAGGCCACTGCTACGTGGTCTGCCCACGTGGCACTCACGGGGGTTGTTTGACCATACTTCACCACGCTGGTAAATGCGGGTTGGGTAAGTAGAGGCTCATGATAGGAAGCGAATTTATGTATCCGGGTTCGTAGTGCAGTTCGATAAGTCCTGTCACCGCATCATCCCTTAATAACACGATTCCAACACTTGAATAAACACGTGTACAATAATAGACACGTTCATGAACGTTTATACGCATGTTCATAAGGTACGCGACTGTGAGCATAGTGTATTTCTAAGCTTGTACATGTGTACACGTTTGTAAATTGACAACACGTTTCTAAGCGTATACAATGCACGTATAACACACCTTTACATGCATGTACTGTACATTGCTGTATGATATACATGTATACGCTTGTGTACACGTCTAAGCATATACACCGTGCTGCATCTATACGTTTTTCGGTACGCACGGTTTTATCTGTGCGTCTCAACATAGGTGCTTCGTGTACGCATTCTTGAATTGAATGTACACTGGTAAAAAAAGATGTACACTATTCTGCATGTACACGTTTCTAAGTGTGTACACACTTGTGTGCATGTCTAAGCATATATACACTGCGAACTAGACAACGTTTGTTGGGCGTGTGTACACCGTGAGTGTGTGTGCGACTCGCTGTGTGTACACCGTGAGTGTGCGACTCGCTGTGTGTACACCGTGAGTGAGTGTGCGTGCCGCTGTGTGTACAGCGTGAGTGAGTGTGCGTGCCGCTGTGTGTACACCGTGGTGATTGACGGTGCACACCCGACCCCCGTGGTATGTGCGCACTGCTGCTGCTTGTAGCTGCGACATTCACTGCGGGCGTGTTCAGCCATCCTCCGCCCTCCTCCGCTCACCCTCGGATCGGGCTGGTGGAGAAACAGTGCGCCGACAATTGCCGACTCATCCGATATTGGGTGGTGCTTTCGTTAATCTTTTTTGCTTTTAATAAGGGGGTACAAATAATAATAATAGCGCCGCCGTGGTGAATTCTCTCCAGAGATTTCCGCGTAGATGTGCGCGTACGGGCCTTTATGCACTTAGCTATTGTGGCGGCGACAGTTTTACGGTGAAGTGTGACGCAGGCCCCCGCCGCGTGTTTGCGCGTTACAGTAGTGGCGACAACTCGCAATGATGCATTTTTTTTACACCCTGCCGGTTGGTGGTGCCCATTGAAGTGAGTGTTGTAAAGCGCATTGACCTCTTGCGAATCGTCACATTCGCAGGAAGGAATGAGTGGGGGTGGGGTGGTTATGCTTTTACACACACACACTCTCGCGGTCTTTCCAGCTTAAATTGAGATTGTTAATGACATTGCGTACTGGCGGCAAGCCGCCACACACGCGGCTTAGGCCTCGTTGCATTGCCGAGGTGGCCATTTGACGGTTCACAATGCAAAGGGCTGTGCCCGCCACCCCACAGCTGTTCAACTAGCACACGGGGTTTGAAAGTGGACACCAGCCTCGTTCACAATGCCTGGGCCCCGAACTCGGGTGTGTGGCGTTTTCTTTCACCCTTGAAGCGAGACGGTGGGCGCACAGCAGGCCTCATTCATTGTGTTGATGCTCGGACGCGTACTAGGAAGTCGAGCTTTCATGTACAGGAGACGTGGCCCAGTACGTGCCTTTAAAGTTAACGTGTGTTTCTTCAATCCGGGCGAGAGTTGTTGATCGCTTGACTGAAGGTTTGATTGATTTCTCGGCCAGTCTTGTGTGTTGCGCGTCGTTGACTTGTCAATAACTTCGTTACTTTGTAATTTTTTTTTTTACTTTCAGCGTTGGAAGACTTAAAAGGGACAAAATGACATCGGACCGGGACAGCGAAGTTGTGGCTGAAACTGCCCAAGGATCCACGTTGCCGGTGCGTGTGTAGTAGTCGGCACATCGCCACGAGCTGTAGGCGGGCGCTGCAGTGGTTACATTACACTTTTGCGCAGTGTACCCGGGTAGTGGCGGCGATGCCAGCTCTAACTTGTACCAACCACGGAGAGCTATGCAACTCTGCAAGGTCACTGGGCACATTACCCGACTGCGTATTTGCTTGACTGTTGGCTTTGCTTTCAGCTGTGGCTTGTGAACTCTTGAGTGTTGTGTGTGTGCGATTTTTTTACGTTCCAAGCTGATTTATTTATTCCACTCAGCACCATGAAGGGTGTGCAATGCTGTTGAATTTTAATTAAAACATGTTAACTATTGTAATATTTTTAGACATGCCTTGTGGTTTCCAAAGTCGACTTTCTTTGGCTTAAAATTAAATCGGCACAGTATTGTTTACGGTTAAAGCTCTTTCTCGGTTATACTTTATGAAGGATTGCATAACCTCTATTTACAATTCACTGTGTAACAATTTTTTTTTACATTTTTTGTTCCTTGGTAGTAAGTGTTTTTTTCCAATTGCTTACGCCTCAAAAGTACAGAAAATAGCCATTAATCCCCACAAACTTTGCTTTTGTGAGCAGGACAGTGATATTTTGTAATTTACCTATTTTAAATTAGGAAACGTGTGCATTTGTGTCCTTCACTTAAAGTCCTGGTCACAAAAGCAAAGTTTGTGGGGAATAATAGCCATTTTCTATACTTTTGAGGCATAAGCAATTAGAAAATAACACTAACCAGGAACAAAAATCGTGTGACATAGTGGTATATATAATTGGTTTACGGCTTAATGGAAATACAAATAGTGCTCAACAATCACCTAAAGTGTTGGTTAACCTGCCTCTTATTGAGGAGAGTCGAATGTGAGTGTCCAATGAATCGAGGTTCAATTGTGTGTTTTCACTTATGCAGTTCATCCACTTGTAAAAAAAGTGTTTTGCCTGTTAAATAGCACACGTTATTAATAACCACTCATGGATTGAGTGCCATACAATTCAAAATGTACATTTTTCGAATTCCATTGACCAATAACAGATGGTGAGTAACTTTAACGGCTGTGTTAACTGAATATTTTTTACGTGATTAATTAAAATGGTCAGGTTTCTTTACATATGGTTGTGCCATCAGCATACAGTATTAATATAGAGGTGGCCCTTGAATATCGCGGGGGTTATGTTATTGAAAAGTGCCGCGAAAGCCAAAAACGCGATATTTAATACTTAAACCTTACCTAAATAATGGGGTTAGGTACACTGCAACCAACAATAGACACATCACAATTGAAATGGGTACTGTATTGCCAAATAAAAAAAAATATTGACATAAACATGTAAAAACCCTATATGAAAACATTCCTCGACAAATAATAGTATGAATTCTACATAAATACTGTACTTGCTGATGATGGTGATCCAAAGCAGGGGGGGGGTGTGTGTGTTTGTCCGCGAATGGGTAGCGGGAGCGCTACGGTTAGCGTGCGCACGCTACGAACTCGGCGACCCGAGTTCGATTCCCGCTCACACCCAATACCAGTGACGATTATCTGAATCGGTCCTAGGCCTCCCCTAGGTCGACTCATCCTCAAATACCTGGTGCGGTGTGTAATCGTTGCCACTGGGGAGACGAAGGCGACCAGGCGTGGTGCTAGATACCCCACCCCCTTGTGTGCAATGCCAGCCTTCATAGGCGCTCGCTAACAGCACTTGCCCTAACAGTCTGTTTTTAGTCTTTGTCCTCGAGATGCTTCTACGGCAAAGGTAGAGCTGCGACACTACCTCGCGTCCCTCGCCTGCCCCACACTACGGTATCAGCCAATGATACAGTACTTCCGGGTACAGTATACCCACGAAAAGCCAAAACTTAACCCCTGCGATGGATAAATTTGTATACAAACAGGTTGCCCGCGATTGGTATAAACCCACCATAATCAAGGTTCTCCTGTATTTGTCAATTGTCGGTGGATGTTTTTATTTCAGGCCATTGTGTTGTATTTATTTTAGATGCAGTAAGAATATGTATGATTGTTAGGAATTTACCCAGGAAAGCTGCACTGAGTCTGAAGGCTCTTTTTTTCAGGATGGACCTGTATTGGCTTGTCTGGCAAAACAAAACAATGACATTGTATGTTTTTAGCTATTGGAGGAAAGTAGAGATTCTGGAGGAAACCCATGCAGAACAGAGGGGAAACAAACTCCATACAAAAAAGTGCCCCATTTGGGAATCAAACCCAGGTCCTTGATGCTTGTGAGACATAATGTGTTATCACTGCTCTGCCCTACCTGCCCATGCTTGTTTTAGCCGCAGGTGGGCACCGTCGTCACCCTGATCAATGTGAATGGTTTTTGTGACCAACATCAAATTTTTGTCGCAGTGCTAAGTACACTCTCTCACTGTCGATTGCAATCAGTGATTTTGACCTCTTGCACATCTTACAAGAGTGCTTGCAGGTTAATAATGGGCACAGATTAGATTTTTTTGCATCCCATGGGGGTCAATTGGACACTGAGAACAGTTGGCATTGGATATTCTACCAATTGTGCAGATGCACAATTATATATTATATATGATATACTGTACATTTACATTGCTCAGACTGTTTTTTGTTTGTGTTCAGGTAAATTATATTCTAAGCAGACGAAATAAACATGAATGGTTTGAGTTATAGTCCAATAACACACATCGTTTTAGTAATGTTTTTTATTAATCTTAATTTTAGCATGTGGAATATTTTAGTGGTAATATTTATTTTGCGAGCCTGTACATGACAGTAATAATTTTTGTCAACGTTTATTCGTTTTGATTTGCTGCTGTTTAAAGTCCTCCCTTTCAGCTCTGATGGCACACAACAGAGCTTTGGGGAATTATGTTAAAATAAGCCACTTGTGTTTCTTTGTTCAACATTGTACGTTTGGAGTGTAAGGCTGAGAATTATCAAATTGTTCGGTACTGTACTTTAAAGTTTACTTGAAATGCATGACTAGTTTTGGCTATTCTCTTTCCCATCAAAGGTTGCCACAGGTTGGTAGCTTCATTGCAGGGAATATATTTAATGACTACTTGTAAATATGAACGGTTTACATTTATGAACTGAATTTATATCAATTCATATTCTCCTGGTGGCGTCGACGCTTGCTCGTGTGATTATTTTGATGAGATGCCCACAAGACATTTCTCAGGTTAAAGCAATGTCAGTGTCAGACTCGGTCTGCTTCAATTGACATATGGCAAGATTGTTTCTATTTTTAACTTTTTTCGCACCTTGCGTAGCCAACTGTGCTAATAATTATCAGAGGTGTATGTAGACAATTTTTGCACTGTTTATGGCAAACAGTAATGTTTAATGTTCTTTCAGTTTTGGGAGTTCCTGATTTTTATGAACTAGTCATGACGATAAAATTCACTTTAATTATTTGGGGTCATTTTTAAATAAATTTGCAGATTTATTTGGACTGCATTTTCCTTTTTATCTTACTGCCTTTCAGGGGGAACGGGAGTGTAGCGGTTAGCGCGCTGCTTTAAGAACCTGGCGACCTGGGTTCGATTCCTGCTCACGGCCAATACCAATGGCTTATTTGAACCGGTCTTGGGCCTCTGCTAGGCTGACTGAGCCTCATATGAGTACCTGGTGTGATGTGTAAACATCGCCACTTGGGAGACAAAGGCGGCCGGGCGTGGTCCTGGCCACCCCCACCCTCTTGTGTGCCGTGCTGGCCTTAATAGGTGCTCGCGACCAACACTTGCCCTAACAGCCTATTAAGGCTATATGGGGGATCTTTGTCTTGTTTGTCTTTAATACTGCGTTTCTATTTTGTTTTAGTCTCATTGATTGCAGTCTTTAGGAATAATTTGCATAAAACCCCTATAAAAAACCCTATCAATTCTTACATGCACGATTTCATTCAGATAATGTTAATGAATAATTTAATGGATAGTTTCTAGAGTTAAATTTGTACGTGTCTGTTGGTGAGGCTGTGTATCTATGGTTGTTGTTTTTCCAATCTTAATTTAATGTGTGTGAGGGGCAGAGAGCGTTTTTGTGAAGATAGCTTATCTCCTGGGATAAGACATTTTCAGATTTGAAGTCGCTTATTAAGATTGTCAATCATAAAGTATATTTTCATGTTAAGTTTACCAAAGGGTTATGCCCATAATTTGAATCCAGGATAAAAGGCAAGTGAACACCAAACCAATTTGTATAGAGTTAATTCTAAGTACGGTATAGAGTTAATTCTAAGTATGGCGAACCTTCTCTATCCGCGAGGGTGACGTTCTTGAAAACGCCTGCGAATGCCGAATTCGCTAATGCCAGAAACCTTGTTGCAACGGTACGAGTGAACATAGGGGGGAAATGGTAAATGTTTAATAACAATGACTACAATAAGTAATGATTTAAAAATTATTTATTTTTTATTACTTTTGAGATGACGCCAATGGAGGTGATGGTGTATAATTCAGGTGGATGACTCCGAGGGAGATACAGGTGTTTGATAACAACGCCACAGTTTTTATCATTTAAGCACTCTGGGGAGCACTAGCCGCAACACTTTCCCTGATTGCATTCGCGTTCCTTTTTAATGGACCTCACAGTCGAGTCGCTTATAGCAAAATGTCGGCCTACCGCAGACACTCTCACTGGTATCTCGTCAAAAATGTTACCTTTTCACTCAAACATAACACTTGCCTCTGCTTTTTTCAGCAGACGCACTTTCCTCTCATTGGACACTTGGGAACTGCTATCACTACAGCAGTGCACACTGATTGTGGCGGTACCTGCTATCACTACAGCGGTGCACACTGACTGTGGCGGTACCTGCTATCACTACAGCGGTGCACGCTGACTGTAGCTGTGTCTGCTATCACTACAGCGGTGCACGCTGACTGGCGGTACCTGCTATCACTACAGCGGTGCACGCTGACTGGCGGTATCTGCTATCACTATAGCGGTGCATGCTGACTCTGGTGGTACCTGTGGCGGTACCTGCTATCACTACAGTGGTGCATGCCGACTGTGGCGGTACCTGCTTATTACTACAGTGATGCATGCTGACTGGCGGTATTTGCTATCACTACAGCGGTGCACGCTGACTGTGGCAGTACCTGCTATCACTACAGCGGTGCATGCTGACTGTGGCGGTACCTGCTTATCACTACAGTGATGCATGCTGATTGGCGGTATTTGCTATCACTACAGCGGTGCATGCTGACTGGTGGTATCTGCTATCACTACAGCGGTGCATGCTGACTCTGGCGGTACCTGTGGCAGTATCTGCAATCACTACAGCAGTGCATCCTGACTGTGGCGGTATCTGCTTATCACTACAGTGATGCATGCTGACTGGCGGTATTTGCTATCACTACAGCGGTGCATGCTGTCTGTGGCGGTATTTGCTATCACTGCAGTGGTGCATGCTGACTGTGGTGGTATCTGCTATCACTACAGCGGTGCATGCTGACTCTGGCGGTACCTGTGGCGGTATCTGCATTCACTACAGCAGTGCATCCTGACTGCGGCGATACCTGCTATCACTACAGCGGTGCATGCTGACTGGCGGTATCTGCTATCACTACAGCGGTGCATGCTGACTCTGGCGGTGCCTGCTATCACTACAGCGGTGCATGCTGACTCTGGTGGTATCTGCTATCACTGCAGCGGTGCATGCTGACTGGTGGTATCTGCTATCACTACAGCGGTGCATGCTGACGCTGGCGGTACCTGCTATCACTACAGCGGTGCATGCTGACTCTGGTGGTACCTGCTATATCACTACAGCGGTACATGCTGACTCTGGTGGTACCTGCTATCACTACAGCGGTGCATGCTGACTGGCGGTACCTACTATTACTACAGCGGTGCATGCTGACTGGAGCGGTATCTGCTATCACTACAGTAGTACATGCTGACTCTATAGCAGTATATATCGACTATATAGAGGCCTAGTCCCATGCAAAGCCCCCGGCCTCGCCTAGATTGCCCAGCCGGCCGAGGTGGCACCTTGGCAAGCTGGGGCTGGGCTGCTTCACCCCCCCCCAATGCCCGCTCTACAGTAGCAGTAACTACAAACTCTACAGTAGTATCTACCTATTATACAGTAGTATCTACCTACTCTACTGTAGTATCTACCTACTCTATAGTCGTATATATCGACTCTATAATACTAACTTCACAGTGTAGTGGTGAGGCCTAGTCCCGTGCAGAGCCCCCGACCTCGCCTAGATTTCCCAGCCGGCCGAGGTGGCACCTTTGCAGGCTGGGGCTGGGCTGCTATCCCCCCCCTGCCCGCTCTACAATAATATAATCTAAGGACTATAATAGCATCTACCGACCCTATAGTAGTAAGTGCACACATAGGGGAGAGGAGGACATCACACGGTGGAGCCGGCTTTCTCGCGCATGCGCAGATTCGTGCTCTGGCGCCACCCTGTGTTGATAAAGGGAATACATTTTTCATTTAACTACTTTAAATTTGACAGATGTGAAATACGAATAGCACTTTCTCGTCTCGGGGCATACGGTGTGGTATCCGTGTACTTTTTCGATATGTAAACCCCACAGTTTGTCAGTTAAAAAACGTCACAAGGTACCCACGCAGACAGACAAAAATGCCTTTTATAGGTTAGATAACGTTATGCATAATACAGTGAAACTGCGCTCTTATCTTCATTATTATTTGTGACCTACCAATGTCTGCAGTCAGGATCAATCGATGACAATCCTATTACCTGCAGATATTTAACAGATGAGATGCGTTGCACCGTTAATTCCTCCTGTTTTATTATACTTATCTTGTCCGTATGCATCTGTGCAGATAGTTTTTTGTTGTTGCTGTTAAGCCATAGTCCCCACATACCGCTCGTATAAATGCGGATAAGACGAGCGGCGACCCACTGCTCTGTAGAGTAACATTGGTATAAACGCTTGTTATAATATGAACAGCGCATTGAAAACGCGTACTATTTCATGTACTGTTTACAAAGTGCGTTCACAAATCCGCACTGCGAAACACGATGATTGACAGGGATGTAAATGATTTTTTCGATAGTGTATTTAAATAGAGGTACTGCAGGTAAATAGTTGTCAGTTTTAAAGGCATAGTTTAACAAGACAAGACTTGCCACCATCCTTCAAGCCCATTGGTGAAAAATAGCAGAGTTTTTGTTTGCATTAACATATGTTTATGTGAGAGCTGGGGGCTTATGGGGCCCCGGAGTCCTGACATAAGGTTCAAATTTTCAAATATTAACAAATGTTAGCGAGTGTCTGGGTTATGTGCTGCCGCCGAGGAATGCGTTCACTCATTGTCGACTTGGAGGTGGGATGATACTACTTGTTTAAACCAGGATTAAAGTAAGATTTGACTGAAATCCTAGTTTGAGACAGCAGCGGTGAGAGGGTGTGGGGATTGTTGTATGCGTAGATTGAGCATGTTGTTGATGCATGCCACTTGAGCAAGGAGTGCCAAATGCTAGGAATAGAACAGTGGTGAAATAAGCTAGCTGGCAACTCGTTATGGGGCTGCCTGATGTGTGGGGAAACTACGTTTCACAATTTTCTTTTTAAAACGTATCGCGATTTTTTTGTGCAGTTAACAGTGGTTTCTCTACCCTTTTGTTAATTTTGAAACGCTCAATTAAATTGCATGGTAATGCTCCAAATCAATGTTTGCAGAGTACATTATAAGAGCAACTTTCATTGGTGCAATGTGCACAGTTGTATTCCTATTTGAAACCTGACGAAGGTAATTTGCTACTAATATACGAATTGGTTTTACCCTTTCTGGCAATAAAACAGTTGTGTTAAGATGTTAAAACCACAAACAGAAACCTTTTGCAAGGAATTATGTCTACATTAACCAAAGTACTTGTGGTGAACATGCAAACAAAAACACGCTCTGGTCATATATGATGCATTGTCTTTGAAACTGATTGGTCCACACCAGAGATCGCTTTCTTTAGCGCCTAGTCTCAAACAGCGTTTGATCAGAGAACGCTAAAAGGCGAACGGCTACTAATGTTACGCATGGTGCTTTGGCTGCATGAAAATCTCAGGCAGCTTTCTCGCACTCGTGTATTTTTCTGGGATAGTGATGTGGTCCCGATAGTGTTAACAGGAGCTGACTTGAGTAGTGTATTTGTTGATAGCTGCATTGGAGGGAGATTGGCTGATGTGTGTGTGCAGCTGTATGTAATTAAACTGAAGGACTTTCTCACTTTTTACCAAAGATCTTGACTGGTAGAGGCCTATGATGATATTCATGATAAGTTGAACAATATTGTTCATCATGGTGTTCTTGATTTTAATTCCGTCCATGGAACGAGTCAAACATCAGTTTATAAGGTTATTTTGTGTTTGCATAGCTAATTTGACGAGTCTTGGTTTTAGTTACAGTGCAACACGTTGACTGCACCAGTGCTGGTCCATCAACACAGCAAGTCTGAGATGCACCAGAAACGTGATTGCACCTGACATCGGCAAGCATTTACCATAAAGCATAGTGTACATTTCCTTAAATGTGCATAGGGGAAGGAACGATTTAGTGTTACAGCATTTTCAGGTTTTTGTGGTTCTGGAAGAAATTTGAATGCAAAGTGAATACTGAAGGGTGGGTTTGCTTTCAGGTTACATCAGATGGCGTGATGTTGAATCCAAATGCTGAAGCTTGGCATAATCCCATGGAGGAGGCAGTGGGAGGGATGGATGGTGGAGGTGGTGGAGTTGCAGTGGTGGAGTTGGACGGTGGTGGCTGCACTAAGGATGGAGCTTTAAAGGAAACCATCCCAGCATGTGCTATCGGTAAGCTTTATGCTTTAAGAGCTGTTAAGAATTGTATTAAAATGGAACACATTTTAGCACCCATGGCACCTGAAATTACATGCCAGCAAAACAAAACACGTTCCAGTGAGGTACATTCGAGCCAGAAGCACCAAAGGTGGTCATCAAAGTAACCAATTATCTAATAAAACCTATGAAACAGCACAAGTATAAACACAAAGCAAACTTATAAATGATTTATGCTTTTTTTCGAAGTGCAAAACATGAGCAAGCGTAGATTAAAAAAAAACCTATTAAGCCAACTCCTTGTAGTTCCTAGAACAATTTCTGAGGCAGATGTGTTTAAAAGTGTATTTTGCCTATATGCATTTTGTCAGTTCGAATGTTAAGTGGCCTTGCTGTAGGAACTACAGTCAGCAAATAGTTTTTTTGCCATGACAAGTATACATGATTTGTGTGCTATATGCATAAACTACTTAAGAAGATGAAGAGGTAAAGCTTCCACATTTTAGAAAATATAATACAGATTTTTGTTTAACCTAACGCGTCTCTGGCCGAACATTACTGGCGCATGCATGGAAACGTCTGGAGAAAACCCCCACACAGGTTTTGTGTGCTCACCTGAAATGCTGCTTTGCCAAGAGAGGTAAACTCTTCGTACACACCGCTTGATTGAGCATGTTTGCAATGCACACGTTTTCATGGGTGCGTGCGATATGTGTTTCGTAGCAGTCTATGCACGGATGAATGGCAATGGCGGAGCGGAGACACCAACGGCGGGTGCGGACGTGCAGTCTCATCTTCACGCCGAGCCAGAGGAAGCCCAGTCCGTGGCCGTTATCCCACCGGGCGAGCCCGACGGCACCATCGATGAGCCTCAGGTCGCGACTGCTGAGCAGCAGCAGGATCCCCGTTCCAGTTCCCAAGAACCGCCTTCCAATCCGGCGCCGCTCCCTCCGGCCTCAACGCAGAGCCCGCTGGCCGAGAGCTCATCCCCGGTCACTGGCACCGTCGCCGCGCCGCCCGAGTCCCCGTGTCCCACCGCCAGTGCCACTGGCGACTTACCTTTTGAGACGCAGGCGGCTGTGGCTAGCGAGTCGCACGGCGACACTGCCTGTGTCGTTGGGGAGGCTCGGTTGGCATTGGCAGCAGAGCCCGCGGATGCCTTGGCCACGGAGGCGCCAGCCTTGAACGGAGAGGTGGTTTTGCTGGCGGCGGCACCACCGCAGGAGCCTATCCCCGGAGAGTACGAAGCCTTGCAGAAGATAACGCAAATTGGTAAGGTGGGCTTGGCACAAATGGGCACAAAACTGTTGGCAGCTTTAGTTTGAATATTTTTGTTAACTAAAATATTTGGCGTTAATGAACATATTCCCCATCTGTAAGAAACACAGATAATAGGCTGAGAGCTGAAAATTTCAGGCACACGTACATTGACTTCCTCTCCATCTCATACCCTGGCAATGGTGAAATGAAACATTTGAAGTTGATTTATATGCAAACCATTTATTAATGATTCATTATATCAGTTTTCCAGGAGAATTGACCTTTTTTTTAAAAAAACACACCATTATTAATGATTGGTTATACCAGTTTTCCAGGAGAATTTACGTTTTTTAAACAATCAATGGGTCTTACTAAAATGCAGGCATTCCTCGCTATAAGTTGTCGCATAATGAGTTGTTTCACATCTGAGTTGCTGATGAATAACGGAACATTTCCCTAAAAGTGTAATGTTTCGCATACGCGTTCCTCTAGAAAATCCGCACGCATTTTTTAACGCAATATTGCAATGAGGAACGCACACAGTGGAAGATGAAAAATGCTGTCCAGCTGTCTTTGGACAGAATTTCTTAAACATTCTGCAATCAAGCCAGAAGGTCCATAGAAGAGCCCAGAAGAGAGCATTTTTCCTAGCTGTGGCTCTGGCTTGATCGTCAGATGAAGAGGCAGTGGAACCTGCCCCTTCGTCGTCTGCATAACTCCACCACTATTCACTCCAAGAGGCCTCGAGCAGCAAGCCCTTAAACAATTTCTGGAAAAGTTTTATGCAACTCTTTTTATTGATTAGGCGTTCAAATGTATGTAAATGTATATGCATTTTTGTACACTTCATGACATTTGGTCACATTTTCACCAGACGTCGGTAGGAACACAACCCCTGATTTTAACATTTATTCGGGAAACTAGAGTTTGCTTTAAGTTATTTAGAGGTAAGAACCATTTACCCGGAACAAATTCCTTGCGTATAGCAGGGATTCCTGTAGTTATTAAGATTAATGGTTGTCTAATTATTTAACTTAACACTTAAGAAAGCCTGTAAAATGTAATAATGTTAAATATGTATTTTTAGGTGGATCTGAACTACAAGAAAGTAACACTATGAGTCCAGAGGAGCTGAAGGAAGTCCTGAAAAAGCAACTGGAATACTATTTTTCAAGGTACTTATCTCACTGAACTGAACAATGTAAAAGTATGGTGTCTTTTGACATGAGCTTAGAAGGTTGTTGAGCTGGCCAGGTGAGCAGTGCTACCTGTTTGTTGATTGATGAGTAATGTATTTGAGTGAATGTTAAAGGTCACAATCACTAGCAGGTCAGCATTGTCGGGACACTTTTAATTATTGGACAGTTAATAAAGATCAGAGACGCCTTCAGGAAACAGACTACAGAGCTCAAGTATGTACTTAAGTTCCTCCCCCAGCCCTGTTTTCATGTTTTTGTACAACTCGAGCTTGCTACCAATTTGGCAAGATGAATGACGGTGACGATTTCACGACATGGACTGGTCTGAATTTTACGTCAGAATTTGAGCAGATTGGAAATTATACTCAAACCAACTGTCGCTCGATTAACTCTGATAGTCATGGAGACATAACTGTTTAAAATCAACTTGATGTGTCTATAAACTTAGTTGGCTGGAGAACTCGACTCCATTTGTTTGTGCGTGAAAAGGAGTTGTAAGTTGCAATGTGGGGCTCTGCCCTTATTAAATAAACGTCTCGGCTCTCGCTAGGAATCTGTGGTGCATGCCCCATCATTACTTCCTTTTAGCCCGCTTGTGTAGAGTATTTAATATTGTGAGGAAATAGTTTATCGGAAAATATTCCTAAGGGAAAACATAAATTATCGTGCGTGGCTATAACATATTTTTGTTGCAAAGGGTTCAAAGTGAATCTAGGTTGAATCTGAAAGTCAATCTGGAACCTTTGTTGCCTCGATGCACGCTGCTTGCATTCACAGAACCGTATTACATCGGGAAGCTTCATGTTGCTTCCTTGTAGCATCCATTACAGACGTACATGGAGGGATACAGATTCAATTTAGTTAATCAGTTGTGTTTTCCTTGGCACAATCTTCCAGCGCACGCACAGTGTGAAGAGTATAAAGGTGCGAGATAGGTTTCCAGTAGCTGGAAGAGGGTATCTTGACTAAATGTTTATTCACAATCTAAAAAAACCCTGCTACTTCACAACTTAATTTTACATTTGCTGAAATGTTTTTTTGCCTATGACCATATCACCCAGACTGCTATGTTCCCTGCCTTCAAACCGCACAGACTAGCACGGTGAAGTATTGTCAAATAACGGCCACGTCCAGCACTGTGCGGAGAGACCCTCATGCAGCATTGCATTTGTAGTGGGTTCACGGGATACAGAGACGGTGGAGTAGAGGCAGCACTGTTTATTCAACTTAACAAGGGTTACACTGGAAGGGGTAACGGCCCCTTCACCCATATACACGCTGGGACACCCCCTAGGTTATCTAGCCTAATTCCTGTGTTCCTAGTTCCTCCAGCTACAGGCGCTAGAGGAGGCTATCTGATTTGGCCCTGGTCAAGCACAGGTTACGGCACCCCACCAACCAGACCGACCCTTGAAAGGGCTCTGGCTCTAAGGCTCTGGGGCCGCACCACTGGCTTACCCTGCCGGCCCTCAAAAGGACAGCGGTCAGGGAAGTCCCAGAGTCTATCTAGCCGGCCTTCCTTCTTCACTGGTTCTTAATTCTTGGCCCCAACACACTGCCCCGAGCTCTCTGGCTCCCCGCCCTTTATACCCATACACCATTGAGGGCGGGGCTATAGCGGATGTGGTTGTAGCCACCAAGGTGTGGCTGTGTGTTACCTTCCCACACTGTGTGTTTCCTTCCCACAACACCCCTACACATTGACTAAACGAGTCGACACGCACATGAATACTCTTTGGTTCTTTTGGTAAAGTCACGTAGGTAGAAAAAATATAATAGATCACGACGTTTCGATCGCCACAGAGGTGGAAGACGATTGCTTGTGTGGCGATCGAAACGTCGTGATCTATTATATTTTTTCTACCTACGTGACTTTACCGAAAGAACCAAAGAGTATGGATTCCTGCAGTCACGAAAGCTTCAAATCAAGAATGCACATGAATGTTGCTTGATATTTGCGTGAATTGTAATGATTAGCTTAATTAAAACTGACCTCGTGTGCCGTTTTGATGATGATGTGGTGGGTGGTGGTGAGTGTAGCGAGTGCTGTGCCATTGTGCGGCGGTGAGTAACGGAGGGAGTGTGTTACGATGTGCAGAGAGAACCTGGCAAACGACCTGTACCTGGTGTCCCAGATGGACAGCGACCAGTATGTTCCCATCTGGACCATTGCCAACTTTAACCAAGTCAAGCGGCTCACCTCCGACCTGCAACTCATCGTAGACACCCTCAAGTGTGAGTAGCGCACACGCCACTCTGGCTTCCATTGCTACAAGCAGAACGGAGCGGCACAGTTTGTGTTTGAAGTTTCACTGTCCCGCATTGCTGTGTATGCCCTCCTAAGGCCATGATTTATTTTCTGGGGGATTTTTTTCTTCCCCTCAGATGTTTGTTGGGAATCCAGGTTTCAACTACGGGCAGGTAGCAGCGTTTTAATGCAGTCAGATTTGGATGCTGTACAAATTCTAATTGCATTGTTTGACTTTTGGTGGTTATGTGATCAACGTGTTCACGATGCGTATTAAACCATGGCAGTTTTGTTTATTGGATTTCACCGAAAAGCTTTCTTCTACTCGCTCCAATAGGCTGTTACCTGCTGAATTGCCAGCCCGCTGGGGCCGCATGTCCCCGAATCTTGCTGAACTTGGCTGCAAAAGCAGCTGCCTAATAGGGAAAGACACTTCCAGCCACAAATATGATTGCGTACACCCTAACGTCATCCATTGAGGTTGGGCTGTTGTGTCATAGAAGAGCATAAAGGGGGGGGGGGGCTTTGCTTGGCATGCAATTTCAGAAGCTTAGCTCTGTAATTATATATTTTTTGTTCATATGTTAAATTGTAGGGCATATACCTGGATAGTTTGTGGATTAGTTACAATATGATCTTCATGAACATTAGCTGATTTGGCGAAGTGGAAGGGGGTATTAGGCTTGGTGGAGTGGCCAAAGGTTGAACTGAGTGTGCAAAGGCATGTGGGTGAGCAAAAGTACCTTATGATGCAAGAATATTACTTTGCACACCATTTAGCAAAAGAATGTTGCAGTGCGCAACCCTTAGTCATCAGTCCTTGTTCATCAGTGGCGGTGCATCAGAGCATGAGGCTTACGCAGTGATTGATGATGGACTTGGAATCCATTGGCCCAGTTTTCAGAGGAAACTACAGCACTTACAAAGGATGAATGTATGTTGAACTTATTTCACACCGTACCTAGCCAACCGTGCTCATCTGAGGTGTGGGTGAAGAACAGCAAACGACATGTCGCTGGGCTTGTGTGTGCGCGCGTGTGTAGCATCTGCCCTGGTGCATGTGGATGAGAAAGGGGAGAGGGTAAGGCCGAATCAAAAGCGCTGCATTGTGATCCTGAGAGAGGTTCCCGCGAGCACGCCTGTGGAGGTAAGGCCACCTCGCTGCTCATGGTCAGCATGGCGACAATGAGTTAGGGACTTTGGGGGGGTGGTTGGAGATGTTGGCACACACGTGAGAGTCATGCTGTCATGTCCTAGGCTTGGCAGGCATTTTTTTATTCTCTCCATTGGCTCCTGTTGGTAGATGTGAGCTCTGTCACTTCCACACAGTGTGTTTGTGTTTCCCTTTGAAAGGGAATGCTCATGTGGAGCTTTTCTATTATGAAACAGAACATTTGAAAATAAATTTATTTATTTACTGAAATAATATATTTGCTGATTTCAGGAGGTGTATCAGTTTTTTAAGTTACAAGCATTCCAGAAAATATATGTACATTGACTCTAAGTTAAACACTAAAGCTGTTATACGGTGAAGACCACTTTCCTTAACATTTCACAAGATGTGCTTACATGTGTTCTCTGGTCTATGGCCACACTTTGCAACTTGTTCTACCAAGTTTCCAGTCAAAGTCCATGTTTCTGGTCCCATGTACTTTATGGCAGGTGATAATATGGTCCAATTAACTTGTTGTATACAGGACTTGTTTCGCTCATATCTTAAGTGTTCGTTTTTCTCTTGTTTCCTGTAGCTTATGTCCATTGGTTGTAACAATGTTTACGTGAATCAGTGAAACTTATACTTTCACTGCATCTCTTTAGTTCTCCAATCCAGTTTTTGGAAAATATAGTGAAATGTTGCTGTGAATAGCGTTACCAAGAGCCTTCTTATCTCCGTGATGCATATCACACCTTCATTTTAGTTGCGCGCAAGCATTTGCAGGCATAGGGCATTTTGTTAAACGTATACGTCACGTATTCAACTGCATTCGTTATTCTGACTTTTTAGATTAAATTTGCTATTATCCAAGCGTTACTAAAATAGTGTTTTACCTATCAACTTGGTGGAAAATATGGCGAAACAGCGTTATTAAGTATTATTTTAAATTGTAATGTCTCGAATTATTAGTGCCACATGTTTTTATATTTCCTTAGTTTAATGTCGATGTTAGAAATGTAGGTAATTTCAAACCTATCCGTACAGTGTGTATATTGCCATGTACACTGCTATTAACATTTGTCATGTTAAGCTGCCCTAATTACACGTTGCTGAGAACACAACTTGGTTGTTTGAGCCATTCGATGCGAATGTGACACCACATTTAGACTTCATTTGAGGTCGGCATTTTAATTAAAACTCCCTGAGATAATGGATCCCTGCTGAAATTCGAAAATGAATGCACAGGTAATGAATATTTTATTCTTGAACAACAATACTCAAACACACTTCTATGCTTTGGGGCACTGATACTGTATACGAAATATGCTGTCTTTTTATATTGCTTTATTGGAATTTATTTTTGCATTATTTTAGAATAGTTTCAGACTATAATTTTTTCTCTCTCCAATTTTCTACTTTTAACCAGGTACTATACCCTCATTGCCATACCGAGTGTTAAGTGTAAAAATACACACTTTAAGTTAATTTAACTGTGAGCATATTTGGTGTGCATAATGCAAGGACCAAACGACCGATGAGTTAAGGCTTTTCTCCTCGACTCGAGAGAATGAGCTTCACTCTGGGTGACATCTGTATTGCGGGGGAATGCAGGAGGTTGAGAAGCTGTTCACCAATGGCAACTGCGGACGGTTCGTGAGCTGCGAGTTTGCTCACAATGACAGCTGGTACATCACGTTTGAGACGGACGCCGACGCTCAGCAGGTGCGTGAAACACCCCGCGCGGGAAGTCCTTGCTCTGTTGTCTTCTCTCACATCTGCGTTGGTCCGTCCATGTGCACACTGTCAGGCACTTCCAGCGCTTGATGTATCGCCGCTAATTTTTTCTGCTCTTTGTTACAAGTTGAATGGGTCGTGTGACCAAGGCCTTCTGTTGAAGCCCCGAAGGCAATATTAATTCATTTTAAGGTCGCTAATTCTCAGCTTCTCTTGTATAATAAAGGTTTTTTTTTGGGTTAGATCGCATAAATATCTAAATGTGTTGTTAAACCACACCACCACCCAACACAGCCAACTAGTAAGGGTTGTCACATAAACAGAACGTGCCAATTAGTCACTGGTACAGCACACCGGTGTGTTGGAGAGCCAAGCTACAACGTTTGGCTGTGTCGGGTGGTGGCGGGTTTTTAGCGACACATTTATATATCTTGATTTGAAGCTTTCGTGACTGCAGGAATCCATACTCTTTGGTTCTTTCGGTAAAGTCACGTGGTAGGTAGAAAAATAAAATAATAAATCACGACGTTTCGATCACAACTGCTGGTTCATCAGTTCCACTGCTGGATTATATGGTTTCTGCCTGAGGACGACCGCTTTGTGTTGCAATCGACACGTCGTGATGTATAATTTTTTATTTTATTTTTCTACCTACGTGACTTTACCGAAAGAACCAAAGAGTATACATTTATATATTTACGTGGTCTAATACAAAAAAAAACCTTGTGGATGATATTGGTTGCGAAAGCCTATGTGTTAAACTGCTTCCCTTATAGTTTGGAAATCCTTCAGCCTGGTAGCCTATTCGTCTCTATGAAATATGTCCACGGTTTTTTACGTCATCTTGAATTACATTTAGAAGCTAATCTAAATTGTATCGTATTCAAATGATGTCACAGCAGCCTAGTTTTAGAATGCTTTTTTCAGAAGTGAATGGTTGTCACAAGTTCCTCTGAACTGGGATTGCCAATTGGCTTAGTATTTGAGTGCCTGTCACTGTTGGTTGTTGGGGGAGCCCCCTATTTTGCACGCTTGGTAATGGTCTTCTAGAAATCTTGTATTGTAAGTGCTGTCTACAGAGGAGCAGTCTTATTTTTCTTTTCATTCAAAACATAGTCCCGAGGCTGCCAACACGCTTTGGAAGGAAATACTTTTTCTAGAGCAAGGGTGAATGTTCCTAAAGTGTTTGCTTCACTGTTTTAAATCCTCAGTTGAAGTAAGCTTCCGTTAAATGGGATAATGAAAATATGCATGTTGCAGTGGCATGACCGCAATGATTTTTTGTTTGAAGGCTTTTGAATCCTGCTGTTGTGTAACAGTTCTCACATGGGACTTGCAAACCAGAGGTCGCCGGTTCCATCTCTCTGGCTCGGCAGTTGAAACAATAGTGCAAGTCTTTTTTTAAATCCTCCCATCTCTGTCTCCTCATTTCTTTAGAACTGCTTGTTGTGTTTAGTTTGTTGTCCTTCGCCCGCACCTCCGATTAGCACGGTTGGCTACGTACGGTGCAAAAGAAGTTACACAAGTGGTGCACCACAGTCAAATGGCACGTCACTTGTGGTGGAGTAAAGTGTGGGTTCCTTCACCTCTTCCAAGTCGTTTAACCAGCATGGAACAGCGCCAAAACACCTGCTAGAGATTCCTCAAGTGGGGGGAGGCCCTTTCGCCAGCAGTGGCGTGAGCAAGTAGACCTATGGTTGCACGTGAACATTTGGCAAGAATATATAGCAAAGAGTGCACATCTCATTGAAAGAATGCTTCTTTATAACGTGTGGTTTGTATTGCAATGCAAAAGTATAAATCGACAATCGTAAAGCTCGTGTAGAAGGCATACATCCATTTCTTAGAATTTATTTTAAATGCGGTAGAGTCAGAAAGCGAAGGTCATTTGATGGACTGATTTTTTAAAACTTTTTTTTATTTGCGTTTGGCAGGCTTACAAGTATCTGAGGGAAGAAGCAAAAACATTTCTGGGAAAACCCATTATGGTAAGTCCCTTCTGCTTGTCTTGTCACATGTGACGTTTAGCCCATTGTTGTTCACGTACAGAGGGAATGAAGACGCAAAAACATTCTATTTCTGTGAATTTGAGTTTTAAGGACAGGAGATGAGAGGGTATTATGCCAAACTGCAGCTCATGATCCTGTTAATGAAGACAGTACATTGTACTGGCCAACTACCTCAATTAATAGCTTCATGAAGTGTTGATGCAGCTCTTGACCAGTTTCTGTTGTTGCTTATGTTTTGTGTTTGGCATGAATGCCTAGCAGTGCGTGATAAAGAATGTTATAGACACCATAAATGGTTTGACATTAAAAAAGAGGTTACGTTGAGTAGTTTTAAATGTAGTTGTCTAATTCTGGGTAAATACATTGGCTAATTCTCGTAAAAATATGAAGAAAAAAACCACGTCAGTACTATATATATTTTCTTGGTTCTTTCGCTAAAGTCATGTAGAAGGGAAACAATAAAATAATAAAAATAGATCTAGTTAACACTTTTAATTTGACATTCTTCAGCATTGACACAAGCACATAGTATCAATGCTTGTTGATATTTTTCTTTAACCTGAGGTTTTGTAGCACCAACTTTCGCTTATCTTCAGTACTTGTTTGGTTTTGTTGCTTTTGTTATTTCGGTGACCCAGGTCGCTCTCTCAAATGAGACTCCATATCCCGTACTTGTGAGTTCTCACATTGGTTAAACAAAACAAACTTGATGTGTGAAAACGTATCTCGTGCAGGCACGGATAAAGGCCAAGCCCATGGCCATGAATGTCTTCCTGCCGAAGAACGGGCTGCGCTCGGCGGAGGGAGGTGGCGTAGCGGGTGGCGGTGGGGCAATTTATGCGCAGCAACAGCAGCAGCAGCAGCACCAGCAACAGCAGCAGTATGCGCCGACCATGTACATGCAGCCTGTGTATGCCCCACCTCCGGCACCGCCACCCCCCACTCAACAGCAGCAGCAGCAGTACCCGCTCTACAGCGTGCTGCCCCAGCCCTGGCCGGCCACACCGCAGGGCTATTTCGACACCGCATCTCTGGTAGGGCCGCTTGATAGTCACAGGTTCCCTCTCTCTGTGTCTGGCATTTGTGTTGCTCCCACCCTCCTCTGGCGGTCCCGATCCAGTGATGGAATCCATGTATGCCTGTATTGATGGGCTCTTGGAGTAGGTAGCGGTGGCGCGGTGTTTAGCAGCACTGCCACAAAGTCTGGCGACCGGAGTTCGATTTCCAGCCGTGACTGGCATCATTGGCGAGTGATCTATCAACCGGTCCTTGACACGCACCCACCCCAGGCTGTGAATTGCATAATTTCTGAATGCTCGGCTTGTAGTTAGAACATTGCGAGTTCAAATCGCAGTTGGTGATTGGATCATTACTCCATGGTTAATGTTATAAGTACCACTTTATGGGAGTCACCAGTGGTTGTCCTTTCGAGGAACTTTTCATTTCAATAGGAGTGTGGAATTTTTGTAATTGATCCCACAATTTTATTGAGGGGACTGTGTTGTCTTGGTGTGGTTTGGGACTGTTTTTGCTGTTTTGCTGCCTTTTCCCAAGCTTGGGAATTGATGTATTAATGCAATTTGAACTTAAACACTGTTTAAGGGGCGCCACGGTGTTGTGATGTTATCTTCCTTGCCTGGTATGCAGGAGGTCAGGGGGTTCAATACAGACCCTGACGCTTGTATATTTGGAGTTTGCATGTTCTCCCCGTGGTCGTGGGGATTTTTCTCCGGGTCCTCCAGTTTTTCCCTCCACATTTAGAAACATGCATCGAGATTCTTTACATTGTTTTGCTGCTATAAATTTCCATATGATTAGCCACTTCGTTTCATTTGTGGCCAGGTCCCTTCTGAAAAATTAATGACTACCTCGGTGGATTTTGCCTGGTAGGATGAGGATGGTTTCGTGTTATTTGCATGTGTTTGGGTGATTTGTTTACCTTTCCAATACTTTGCACTCCTGTCGTGTTTTTGTACTGTTTGTTGTTGTAACGTTCTGATCTGCCCCTACTGCACAAATGTGAAAAGAGCTTTATAGCTCCTCGGATTCCTCCAGTATAAATATATATTCTGATTATTAGGCTGAATCAACTTGGAATTCGTGGTTTAGGAGTGGATGCCTGCTGCTCCAGTAGCTGATCTATAGCCCATGGTAAAGCTCCTGTGATAATCTAAATAAACGGTGTTGACATGCACTGTCTTCAATGTAATAACATTTTATTTTAAGCTAGAAATGTATGTATTTTGAGTAACATCTGTCAGGAAATCGAAGTAATGCGTGTTGGTAGCACTTGGGTATAATATCATTAATACCTGAATGAACGTTTAGGTATCTTAAAAAAACCATTTCTCAAAAACAAAGGCAGTGAGTTTTTGCCTTGTTTTTTTCATTACTTTAATGAAGATTAAAAGCAAAAAAACACTAATACCTCTTGTCTTTTACATATGCACCCAGTTTGTGTGCCCCGGGCTGTCTGGTATGCTTCATGGACGGTGAAAAATACATTTTAGTTGGGTCAAGCTAGTCAAAGGCACTGTTACAACAGTGCTGTTGGGACGTTACTGAATTGACTTCGATGTGTGTTGCAGTGTGACATCACTTAACATTGCCATCTTCACTTTATTTACAGGCGCAGGCGGCGCAGGCACCACCTGTTTACAGGGGCGACTTGTCTGTGGATGCGTGGTTGCATGTGCAGGCTTTTCAGAATGCGGCCTTCCTGAATGGGTTCCCAGCACCCGGCCACTACAAGCACGGAAACTCGCTGCCTCACAGGCACTTCTCCAGCAGGGGCAGGTGAGGGGAATGTTCCTGGCGTGCTTGATTGGCATGCGATTGCATCGTGTTCATTTGCAGTTCGGTTTTGAAATCCAAACGTATCTGCTCAGACAAGCATTGGGGTGTGTAGCATTTTCATTGGTGGGTGACGCGGTGACGTGTGGCTTGCACACACCGCAGTGGATAGAACTTGGCGAACCGAGTTTGGTTGCTAGCCGTGGCTAATGTAAGTGGTGAGTTATATCTCAACCGGTCCTAGGCCTCGCCTTAACCAATCCCACATTCTGACCAGCCAAGCTACCCCAATGACCAACATTGCATTGGGGGGTGGAGGCCTTCACACAGCACTGTATTAACAAAGGGGCTCTACATTTATTTCCATTGGCAGCCTTGAGCTGACGGTATCAGTACTATTCTGCTATGACAAGGGGCTATTCATGTAAGCTGGCCGTTGTTGATTTTACATAATGTGTTATATATTTATCAAGGAGGGTTAATGAGGTCATTCGATCCCCGAAGAGTAATAAAACACTCTTGGTTTTTTCCACTCAATTTTTCCACCCACGTCGCCGTGACTGCTCACATCTGTCGATTCAATGTCAGGAAAATGTTCCCTCTCATTTCACTTTCTGCCGCCAACCTCCGGGTTTGTGCTCTGTTCTTTACTCATCTGGACTACGGCTATGCTCTTCTTGGTCTGTCTGCCTACACACTCAAGCTCCTTCAACAAATTCCAAATGCGCCCTGCGCCAGTTATTTTCAATCCCCCATTTAATTCTCAAACTTCACTTCTCCCTCAACTTCGCTGGCTTCTCTTTACTGCCGCTGTCTTTTCAAATGCCTTGTAGTAGTCTTTAAATTTCTCAATGGCCGTTCTCCACCTCGCCTCTAATCTCTTTATAGGCCCCCTCGTGCTGTTCACAATCTTTCTCCCTCCGTGCACCCTACCACTGGAATAGACTTCCCCTGTACATTAAGCAGTCCCCCTCCACCTCCTTTTGTTCCTCTTGTAAAGCCTCACCTCTGCTCCATTGCCCATTCCCTTCCTCTTCCCTCCCCTTGCCTCTCAACTCCGTCCCGGCCCTCCCCTACAGCCCTTTCCGTGACCTCACATGCCATGCCCTCTGTTACAGTCACTCATTCCTCTGCCCTTGTGTTGTACTCCCTTGACATCGAAATTACTCTTTTTGTTACCGCTTTTAAAACTATGTAAAGTGCCTTGAGCTAAGGTACTCTATAAATATAAAATAAGATAAGATGTCCTTTTTCATGAAAGTAAAAGACTGAGTACACTACTCCACACAGCGCATACTTGGCTCACTTATTACTCCACTGATATTGATTGACTCGTTGATGGTGGGTGGTGTCCTTTAAAGTCAGGTCACAACTCGTATACATTGAGTGACTGTTTTAATAGTTCTGACCAATAACATGTCTACGTGCCTGCATCTGTTGCACTGAAAACGTTTATTCAATTTGGCAGGTTTTTGTACAAAGTTTACAATTTTTTGTATGCCAATATTTTTTGCACGTTTCAATGGGTTTATTCAATCGTGATAAAGTAATAGATACTGCCTGAATATAGATAGGTCACCCACATGACAATAAAGCACATCTCTTCACAATTCTGCCAAAATCGCCTAATGAAGCTGGGTGTAATTACCAGCGAAATGTCGTTCTCAAATTGTATATGTTGTGGATTTATTCTCCAACACATTGGTGTGCTGAAGTAACTTATTCTCACGTTATGTGACGAACCTTACTGGTTGGCTGTGTTGGGTGGTGGTGGTGGATTGACGACACATTTTTATATTTATGCGATCTCACCCAAAAAAAAACTTGAATGAAAGCTATTTCTAGGGATGTTTGTGCACGCTCTCTGCGCTTGTGTAATCGACTGTGCCACGTGCGTGTACGCAACGTGAAAACAGGGGTGGCGGCGGTGGTGGTGGTGCCAAGTCGCACATGAGGAGCCACATCGACAAGTTGTCCTCCTTCTCCGATAGCAGCGGGGGCAGCACCGCCACGGCGTTGGCCTCGTCCACCTCTCACTTCACGCAGGACCAGACGCCGCTTGTCAACGGGGATGGGCGCGGCGTGCCGCCCCAGCGAAGGCCCCTTAGCGCCGGCGGCGGCAGCGCCGTCTTGGCCGCCGTGGGCGGCGGAGTTGGTGGCGTCGGCGGCGGCCACCGCGCCAGCTCGGAGGGCGGCTACAGATCTGGGGCAGAGCCGCACTACCGGGCAGTTTACGAGCCGATAGTACGCACAAAGTCGGAGACATCCTACCCGCGGAGAGATGAGCCCTCGCCTTCGCGCCGAACGGAAATAGACCTCGGAGACTCCAGCCTTGTGTCCGCTAGAGGAAGGTACGTACTAAGAGTTTGATTGGTGGGGGCGGGGCATGGGGTTAAAGTGTTGGTTTTAAAGCTTTTTATGGCGGTTGCTAAGTGGATGCATTAAATTGTATAAAGCAAAGTAGTCGGTAACCCTGGGAACCACAGTAAGGACTGTAGGCGAGTGTTAATAAGGGTAGGAGATTATTGTAATTGGCTGGAAAGACATTTACTACTATAATGAGCCAAGAATGTCTGTGTGTCCCGCGCGTGACATCACTCCACGTCGGCCAGCCCCCCTCATTAATACTCATGAACAGGTGACGTCCTCCACATGGACCCCCCCCCCCCCTTCATTAATAATCATGAGCCGGTGACATCACTCCACATTGAACAGCCTCCCACATTAATAATCAAGGTGACGTATTCCAAATGGACACCCCCTCATTAATATTCATTAGCGGGTGACATCACTCCACATGGGGGGCCGAGGCACCTCCTCCCCCCTAGGCGGCGTCAACTTACAACCCTCACTACAAAGGCAGAACCCTCACGTCACGCGATCTCCTTAACGCTATTGAGACATCAAAGTAAAAAGGACGTCATGCTGAACAAGGGATTATTACCATTAAATTAAATAAGTCTGTCACCGCAGCCTTACAAATTGCACACGAATTGATGCAATGAATATCACGTCGCGGTCTGCTTTTTGCTTGCAAGTTTCAGATTTACTGCAATACACCCGTCCTTGGACGGGCAAAAGGCTAGTTAACATTTCAGGGTCAAATTTCGATTTAACGCTTTCGTGACTGCAGGGATTCATCTTCTTGGTTCTTTCGGTAAAGTCACGTAGAAGGGAAATAATAAAATAATAAAAATTAAACATCATAAAATAAAATTCTCACGACGTTTCGGCCACAACACAAGTAGCCTTCTTCAGGTGAAGGAACAGAACTGTCGGGACGACAGCGCTTCAATGAACGCTGCTAAGATTCGCAGCGTCTTTTAAGCTAGGTGGGTGAAGTAAAGCGCCTTGACAAAGGAGTTTACATATCTAACAGGATAATTTAGCATTGAAATAGCTATTTCAATGCTAAATTGAAATAGCTATGGTTTAATTTTATTTCCATTCTACGTGACTGAGCAGCGTTCATTGAAGCGCTGTCGTCCCGACAGTTCTGTTCCTTCACCTGAAGAAGGCTACTTGTGTTGTGGCCGAAACGTCGTGAGAATTTTATTTTGTTATTTTTATTTTTATTATTTAATTCCATTCTACGTGACTTTACCGAAAGAACCGAGAAGATTTCAGGGTCAATCGTGGCTAGCAGCCGAGCAGTTCATTCAGTGGCCTTCGGATAAGTGTCTCTCGACATCTCAGAATAAACGTAATTGACTAAACGTTCTCGAAGTAAAGACGTGTCGCTCTTAACCCTTCAACCTTTTTTGTCGTTACGAGAGAGTAAGGTTTGTAACGCAATTCTTAATATTTCAGGAAAACCTTCAGAGGGAGAAGACGGCGGGAAGATGACAGGACCAGCGTAAGTTTACCCTTTTACCCGTTGCATGTCTAAGATGCTTTTAGAAATCTTCCTGCCGTCTCCTTTTGGTTGCGTTATATAAACGTAATGAATTTGTGTGTGAGAAAAATAATAGGCCTTGTCCTTTCTGGCAAGAATACAGGTGTTAAGATGTTCAAACACCAAATAGATACCTATTGTAAGGCATCAAATCTGCATTAACCACACATGCTTGTGGTAAGTGTGCAAACATACATGCTTTGATAATATATGCATTGTCCTTGAAACTGATTGGCCTACATAAGATATAAGGCCATAATGGAGACTGTCTCACTGATGTTAGACCAGAGAACGTCAAAAGGCAAAACAACACATCGACATTACAAATTTCAAAACATGAATGGCTCGGGTCGAGTGGTTTAATTTATGATGCCCTTTTTGCTAGTATTAAGATGATGAAAAACTGTTTGACTGCCTTTTTAGTCCATGATATTTGAGGGTTATACGTTTTCATATAAATTGGTCTCGACATTGCCTATGCATGTAATATGTGTCAATTGATTCAGCCCCCGGCGTTCGATTCATTGGAGTCCCGATTTTCACATTTTTACCATCATGTCTAGATTGTATAGTTTTGTCAAGCTCAGCCTAAAAATATCATTAACATATTAGTTCCATGTGTTTACATAAATTATAATTAATCTATTAATATTCCGTGATGATTTGTTCCAGTATTGCAAACATAATTGATTTCCTTAAATTAATTATCCAGAAATCTCCCGCTATAGGTTGCTGCATTATGCATTGTTTCGTATATGCGTTGCTTATGAATTAGGGAACATATGGCAATAAAAGATGAATGTTTCGCATACGCATTCTTAAAATAAATGCGCACATTTTTGCGAAATTTTTCAATGAAAAACTGACTTTTACGATGTGATACTGCACTGTACACGCATAGCACGTACCACGTGGAGGGGATTTCCCTTAACGTGGTACGCCATGTGCACGAACCACACTTTCTACTGTACACGCCCATGCAACTGTCGCACGTGAAACAAACCAACCCTTGACGTGGCGGAGAGAAAGTGCACGCGACAATATGGAGGAGTCTGACGTGTAGCTCGAACAACAATGAGCTGAGGAAGAGGCTGATGAAGCAATACCACCACCACTACTAATATATAGTGGCATTCACTTTCACAAGGAGCTGTACCAGCAGAAGAAGAAAACATGGTGTCCAGTTGTCTTTGGACAGATTTTCTTTAAACGTTCTGCAATCAAGCCAGAAGATCCAGAGATGAGCCCAGAAGAGTGGCAATTTCTTCCAGTGAACAATGCTGTGTGACACTAGCTTGATTGTCAGATAAAGAGGCATTTGATCCTGACCCTTCGTCAGCATAACTCCACCACTGCTCAGCCCAAGATGCCTCGATCATCAAGCTCTTAAATAAATTGTGAATAAGTTTGATTTCATAAATTGTATTTATTAGGCGTTAAAATGTATGTATCCTGACTTAAAGCTTTCGTGACTGCAGGAATTCATATTTCTTTGGGTCTTTCGGTAAAGTCACGTAGATAGGTTGAAAGAACGTGACTTTACCGAAAGACCCAAAGAATATAAAAATGTATGTACTTTTATATGCATTTTTATACACTTCATGACACTTAGTCATATTTTGACTATACATCGGCTAGGAACGCAACCCCTATTTTGAACATTGTCTCTGGGAAATTAGGGTTCACTTGAAGTACTTTAGAGTTAAGTCGCATTTCCCCGAACGCATTCCTTCTAGCGGGGGAATCCTCTATTATAACAAGCCTAGTGTGCAGCAGCCCTCTTGCACACTGGGTGGCGCTGTAATACAATAAAATCGGACACCCGACGAAATCACCGATCAGCCCATGTATGGAAGAAAGTAGGCATGGCGTTGCCTGTAGGGGCATGTCTGCTCATACAGTGAGGGGAAAAAAGTATTTGATCCCCTGCTGATGTTGTACTTTTGCCCACTGACAAAGAAATGATCAGTTTATAATTTTAATGGTAGGTTTATTTGACCAGAGAGAGACAGAATAACAACAAAAAAAATCCAGAAAAACGCATGTCAAAAATGTTATAAATTGATTTGCATTTTAATGAGGGAAATAAGTATTTGACCCCTCTGCAAAACATGACTTAGTACTTGGTGGCAAAACCCTTGTTGGCAATCACAGAGGTCAGATGTTTCTTGTAGTTGGCCACCAGGTTTGCACACCTCAGGAGGGATTTTGTCCCACTCCTCTTTGCAGATCTTCTCCAAGTCATTAAGGTTTTGAGGCTGACGTTTGGCAACTCGAACTTTCAGCTCCCTCCACAGATTTTCTATGGGATTAACGTCTGGATACTGGCTAAGCCACTCCAGGACCTTAATGTGCTTCTTCTTGAGCCACTCGTTGTTGCCTTGGCCGTGTGTTTTGGGTCATTGTCATGCTGGAATACCCATCCACGACCCATTTTCAATGCCCTGGTTGAGGGAAGGAGGTTCTCACCCAATATTTGACGGTACATGGCCCCGTCCATCGTCCCTTTGATGCGGTGAAGTTGTCCTGACCCCTTAGCAGAAAAACACTCCCAAAGCATTATGTTTCCACCTCCATGTTTGACGGTGGGGATGGTGTTCTTGGGGTCATAGGCAGCATTCCTCCTCCAAACACGGCGAGTTGAGTTGATGCCAAAGAGCTTCATTTTGGTCTCATCTGACCACAACACTTTCACCCAGTTGTCCTCTGAATCATTCAGATGTTCATTGGCAAACTTCAGACGGGCATGTATATGTGCTTTCTTGAGCAGGGGGACCTTGCGGGCGCTGCAGGATTTCAGTCCTTCACGGCGTAGTGTGTTACCAATTGTTTTCTTGGTGACTATGGTCCCAGCTGCCTTGAGATCATTGACAAGATCCTCCCGTGTAGTTCGGGGGCTGATTCCTCACCGTTCTCATGATCATTGTAACTCCACGTGGTGAGATCTTGCATGGAGCCCCAGGCCGAGGTAGATTGACAGTTCTTTTGTGTTTCTTCCATTTGCGAATAATCGCACCAACTGTTGTCACCTTCCCACCAAGCTGCTTGGCAATGGTCTTGTAGCCCATTCCAGCCTTGTGTAGGTCTACAATCTTGTCCCTGACATCCTTGGAGAACTCTTTGGTCTTGGCCATAGTGGAGAGTTTGGAATCTGATTGATTGATTGCTTCTGTGGACAGGTGTCTTTTATATAGGTAACAAGCTGAGATTAGGAGCACTCCCTTTAAGAGTGTGCTCCTAATCTCAGCTCGTTACCTGTATAAAAGACACCTGGGAGCCAGACATCTTTCTGATTGAGAAGGGGTCGTATACTTATTTCCCTCATTAAAATGCAAATCAATTTATAACATTTTCGACATGCGTTTTTCTGGATTTTTGTTGTTATTCTGTCTCCCACTGTTCAAATAAACCTACCATTAAAATTACAGACTGATCATTTCTTTGTCAGTGGGCAAACGTACAAAATCAGCAGGGGATCAAATACTTTTTTCCCTCACTGTATATGGTCTTGTGGATTGTGAATCGAGGTGTATTGTAATCGAATCTCCTCATAGTTGATCCGACAGCCACGTTAGTGTCGATTCATCGAGGGTTAATCACTGCGTCAATTCATTGGCAAGGGATCCATGGATCGAGTAATCTCATTGGTTAATCAAGTGAAATGCCCCCAATTTTTTTGATCGGCTAACGTCTGTATGATCGTTTAGCCGCTCGCAGTGTTTTTATGGCATTACAGCGCCGCTGAGAATTGGGACGCACGACGCCTTGTCCCCAGCGTGAGCGTGCGTTGCCTGCACCGCCTCGGCAGGTCATCCCCCAGGCCTCGGCAGAGCCGAACCAGCCGGTGCCACCGCTGCTGGCTGCCGCTGCGGCAACGGCGACGACGGCAACGGCGGCGCCACCGCTTCCTCCTCCCCCCCCGCCGACCCTGCCGGCGCCGTGCGCCAAGCTGGAGCTGGTGCCGTCGGATTTCCCCCCCTTGCCGGGCAGTGCCCTGGCAGCCCCGGGGGCCGCGGCGCCGAGCGTGCGAGAGGGCGGCCGGCACGAGAGCCGCATGGCGGCGGACGTGGTGCGCTCCGGCATTGGCAAGGTGAGGCCACGTTGGCAGAGGGCGTGGGCTCCTGGGGCCACCGTTGTTGATTTGTAATAATTTAGAGCCGTCCAATTGGGAAGAGCACTAATAATACAGTGGTTCCCTCACCACACACACACACACCACGATCTTCCGTGACCTAGGTTTGATTCCGGTGCTGGGGAACCCAATTTTTTCACCAACCCGCATTGACCGGTGTGGTGAAGTATGGTGAAACCTCCATGACCCACACGGTGTGGCAAAAGCATCAAATATTGATTCGCATACCTATGAATTATACTTTTAACGATCCATTCATTTATCAATTACAACCAATTCTTATGCTCATTATACATGTATCGAATTGTGCATATGAGCTTCAATTATATGTAACACATTCATTTTGTCAGAACAACAGGTTGATGTGCGCATTTTCTTTCATGAATATGAGATCAAAGATAAGTCAGTGTGGTGCGACTGGCCATGCAAGTGCCACCGCACTGTGGTGGTGGGTTTAAAGACCCATTTGTATTTACGCGATCTAAAAAACTTGTGGATAATATTGGTCGCGAAAGCCTACGTGTTAAACCAACCCAAACTGTGGACCGTATAGTAGACCACTAGTCTGCGCTCCTCAATTGAGCAATGGCAAATATACACAAACTCTCTCCTGAATCCCTCTCATGGCTAGCAGAGATCGACATTGGCATTGAGCTCCTGAACATTGCCACGTGCAAGAATAGAATATGCAAGTTGTATGCATATTATTATGACTGCACTCGTTGACCCAGGTATGCCTCGCCATGTCTCGTGATTTTTTCAGTGGATGTCTTGCCAACCTCTTTTGGTAGGGGGCAATGGTTACTGTGTATATTCCAGTTGAGTAATTTGTGGAATTTTTTGTTTCTATTCATGCTAATAAAGCAAAACAAAACTGCACAACTAAGAGACAACAATGAGAAACTATACAATCCGTGTTAACGACGAAATAAAACAACTCACTCCGGAATCACAATTGAATCATGGCAGTTCATATAATTAATTGCATGAATTGTTATGTGCCTCGTAATAATGTTTTTTTAATTCGAATTCAAAAGGTAATGTACTGGTTGGGAAGTGATTCCCACCACGAATGGTCTGACCCAGTGCAGTGGTGTATGTTACGTATGCAGCGAGAGTCACTATCAAAGGACAATGACCGTTTTTTGAATGCACTTGTACTCAATTCGTCGATCCTGCATGGATGATGAATATACTCTCCAAACCGGGTCTTGAAAGTTACTCCTTGGAGCATGGGATTTAAAACAAGTGCACCGAAGAAAGCCATAGGAACATTTAACATTTTGTTAATGTTTTTTTCTAGAGTGGTCAAGCAAATGTTGTAGGATGTGTAGCGACCGGGTGACTCGTGTTGTTTCTAGAACGTAGATATTTTTGCTGCCCGATGATGACCAAAGTACCGCGCTGTGAGGGAAACCCGACAGGCCGAGGACCCGGCCCTCAACTCCCCCCCACCCACTTCTCCACTGCCTGTGCCACTATCTCATTCGATTGTTCATTGCATCCAAGTGTCGTTCTGTCTCCACTCATCGCCATCTCCCCTCCCCCCTCCTCAACACTCTATTTCTCTCTGGACGGGCTCCTTCGGACTTGAAACGGGTCCCTATGATAACACAGATTATGAGATCTGAGGGCAGCACTTGGAATGAATGCAATTATTAGTTGCAGTTTCTATCGTGCGATTTTAATTTTATTGATTATGAACCATTTGAAATGTGAAATCGATTCTTAAGTGCCAGTGTGGTGCGCTCATTCGTCTGCAATGTCATGCTCCGTTTTAATTTTTATTTGAAGCAATAGACTTTGCACGAGGAAACTTTCAATGAATGCAATTATTAGTTGCAGTTTCTATCGTGCGATTTTAATTTTGTTGATTATGAACCATTTGAAATGTGAAATCGATTCTTAAGTGCCAGTGTGGTGCGCTCATTCGTCTGCAATTTCATGCTCCGTTTTAATTTTTATTTGAAGCAATAGACTTTGCACGAGGAAACTTTCAAATCCATCACGATTGGCCGTGAACTTGTGGGGCGAACGGGGATGGTGGGGGAGGCGCACTTTGGTTAAATTGTTGGTTGTGTAACATTGGCTGCTTTTTGACACGCGTGTTAAACAGAAACTTGGCCCTGTTGCTGTGCTGCGTCTGGCGTGCGCAGGGCGGGAGCGTGAACGGCACAGCGGCGGTCGTCGCGGCCAAGGTGCCTCCGGCCCAGCCTCCCTCCGTGGCCCCCGTCTCTCTGCCCCCCAAGCCTCAGAGCCCCTCCCCGTCACCACGCGTCACGTTTGGCAGGTGGGTGTTGGCGTTTTATTTAACCGTGGCATGTGCCAGCTGCGTCTCAACGTTATGCCACCCTTCAGGCTGCGAAGTGTTGGGGAGTCGGACCTCTTGTGAAAAAGTTTATTCAGACTGTTTTGATTTGACTGGTAGGAAATTGCGTTGAATTCCCTCTTGTGTGTTTTACTTTGAAAAGTAATTAACGGTTTTGGCAGAGTTGTATTAACGTTTGTTTTCAGGCACCTTTCATGATATTGCTTTTTCACACTGGCACTTCGTTGTTTTAAAATTATTTTGTACATGAGTCAAGTGAGTAAGGGTCAGGCGATTGGATCATCCCTGAAGAAAATTTGGAAGAGTCACAGCATTCAGATTGGAACGAAGATCAGACTTCTGCATTCCCTTGTGTGGCCGTTTGCAACATATGGTTGTGAAAGTTAGACCGTCACGAAGAACGAGGTGGCACGAATAAATGCCTTTGAAATGAAAGGATTCAGGTGGATATTTATTACATGTATCGTGAACTGAAAATAAAACAATGAATGGGTTCTGGAGAAAGCTGGTGTTCAAAGAAAACTGTTTGAGGTGATAAAATCAAGAAAGCTAGCCTACTATGGTTGTTTAATGAGAAAAGATGGAACTTGTTTGGAAAAGCAGATTATGCAAGGCATAATACCCGGTTTATGTGCGCGAGGAAGACCAAGGATCACGTAGATAGATAACATCAAAGCGTGGACGAGGCTCATGCTGGAACAGACAATGAGGTTGGCAGAAAACCGATGTACATGGCGAAGGTTTGCCCATGGTGTGGCCAACCCTCGGAGCGAGGATGGCTGAAGACAAGACAAGAGGTCAATTTAACATTTTTCAGCTTTGGTCCTTTCCACCAGCCATTGATACATTCACATAATGTGTTGGATTGGGAGGAAGCATTGCCAGGGTAGAACATTTAACACATTAAATTTTGATTTAAAGCTTTCGTGACTGCAGTAATTCATATTCTTAGTTTTTTCGGTAAAGTCACGTTGAAGAGAAACAACAAAATAACAAAATATATATAAAACAATAAAAAAAATTCTCACGACGTTTCGACCATAACTCAAACGGTCATCATCAGGTGTGTCGGTTTGCATAAATTTATTTTTAAAACGGCACATTTATTTATTTATAAAAAACGTTGGCGTCACGCGCAGCGATTGGCAGTTTGCCCAGGACTAGTCCATCTATTTTTTTTGAAAAGAGGAGGGGGGAGACGAAATTTTTTATAATGTATGCTGTCTGAAAGCCACTGTAAGCGTGAACAATCAATCAAGAACTGAAATGATTTATCAAATCTTTCCAATGATTGCTAAGATAGAATCCATCTTCTCGGTTGAAATTGTCTCTGTGCTTGTATATGTGGATAGCCTCATGAACGAATCTCTCATGGAAGCCAGATGGCTTACAAAGAACCTCCGTCTTGGAAAAGTCAATGGCATGTGAGCCTACTGAATTAGAACAATGATCTGCTACGGCCGAGGTGTTGGTCCTACCGTGTTTAAGGTCTGCTTTATGTTCACGAATGCGGTCCGAGACATGGCGTTTGGTTTCTCCAATGTAACTACTACCACAGAGGCAACTTAGTCTGTAGACACCAGGGTATTGTATGTCCGGAATCACATCCTTTACAGATGGAACCAGATCACGGATTTTATGTAATGTGTTGAAACGGACCTGGATCTTGTGTTTATTCAAGATTTTGGAGATCTTTTTTTTGTGATCCCAGCAATGTAGGGTAAAGTGATGGTTTTGAAAGGCTCCTCAAGAGGGTTCTTCTTCATGGTTTGAGTGATAGCTTTGCGGATTGTATAGTCGGAGTAACCATTAGCCCTAAGAGCTTGGTGTACGTGCTTGAGTTCACTGCTTATGTGTTCCTGGTCGGATATGCATTGGGCTCTATGATACAGAGTCTTGATGAGAGAATTCTTCTGTGATGGATGGTGGTGGGAATCCGGTTTCAGATAAGCATCCGTATGGGTAGCTTTCCTGTAGACAGAGTGGCTCATTGAACCATCAGGTCTCTTTTTAATTAGGACATCCAAAAAAGGTATCTTGCCATCTATTTCGACTTCCATGGTAAATCTGATGGCTGGGTGTATGGCCACATGGCCGGCCTGCTCTAGACCAATTCTTCGACCACATCAATTCCATACACCCAGCCATCAGATTTACCATGGAAGTCGAAATAGATGGCAAGATACCTTTTTTGGATGTCCTAATTAAAAAGAGACCTGATGGTTCAATGAGCCACTCTGTCTACAGGAAAGCTACCCATACGGATGCTTATCTGAAACCGGATTCCCACCACCATCCATCACAGAAGAATTCTCTCATCAAGACTCTGTATCATAGAGCCCAATGCATATCCGACCAGGAACACATAAGCAGTGAACTCAAGCACGTACACCAAGCTCTTAGGGCTAATGGTTACTCCGACTATACAATCCGCAAAGCTATCACTCAAACCATGAAGAAGAACCCTCTTGAGGAGCCTTTCAAAACCATCACTTTACCCTACATTGCTGGGATCACAAAAAAGATCTCCAAAATCTTGAATAAACACAAGATCCAGGTCCGTTTCAACACATTACATAAAATCCGTGATCTGGTTCCGTCTGTAAAGGATGTGATTCCGGACATACAATACCCTGGTGTCTACAGACTAAGTTGCCTCTGTGGTAGTAGTTACATTGGAGAAACCAAACGCCATGTCTCGGACCGCATTCGTGAACATAAAGCAGACCTTAAACACGGTAGGACCAACACCTCGGCCGTAGCAGATCATTGTTCTAATTCAGTAGGCTCACATGCCATTGACTTTTCCAAGACGGAGGTTCTTTGTAAGCCATCTGGCTTCCATGAGAGATTCGTTCATGAGGCTATCCACATATACAAGCACAGAGACAATTTCAACCGAGAAGATGGATTCTATCTTAGCAATCATTGGAAAGATTTGATAAATCATTTCAGTTCTTGATTGATTGTTCACGTTTACAGTGGCTTTCAGACAGCATACATTATAAAAAATTTTGTCTCCCCCCTCCTCTTTTAAAAAAAAATAGATGGACTAGTCCTGGGCAAACTGCCAATCGCTGCGCGTGACGCCAACGTTTTTTATAAATAAATAAATGTGCCGTTTTAAAAATAAATTTATGCAAACCGACACACCTGATGATGACCGTTTGAGTTATGGTCGAAACGTCGTGAGAATTTTTTTTATTGTTTTATATATATTTTGTTATTTTGTTGTTTCTCTTCAACGTGACTTTACCGAAAAAACTAAGAATATTTAACACATTGTTATTTCAAGAAATACATTAATTGTTACGTTGCATTCTAAGTGTAAACATTTTGTTATTCACCATTTTAACTGACAGTTGAAAGCATTTTGCAAGATGAGCAAATGGGAAGATCTTCCCTCTTCAGCAGAAGTTGCCTCGTTTTGCTGTCAATTGCTAAATGCAGTGCCCCGCCCGATGATGACCAAAGTACCATGCGGCGAGGGAAACTCTACAGGCCGATGGCGGCCTAACCACCTCCCTCTCAACCTGTCTCCACATAGACCACTCACCATCTCTCTCCACTGTTCATTTCACCTGAGTTTTGTGCCATCATCATAACCATCAATTCTCATTTCCCTCTCACCGTCACTGCTTCTTCTATCTCTGGATGGGCTGCTCGGTTCCTGGACGGGTCCCTATGATAGCGCAGATTGAGATCTGAATGCAGCACTTGGACATTATGCAGAAGTGTGCCATTGGCCTCTTTTTTGTACTTTTATATTTAGCTATATTAGACGCGTGCTGATGCATCAATTCATTGGTTTAAATAGAATCTCAAGGTCACGATTATGGCGATAAAAATCGATAGTTTAAGATGTGTGCAAACCTCGCGTTAATGACATGGGAAAGTTACATTAGCTAATGAAGTTAACAAAGCTGTGCAAAGAAAACCAAAAAGTTAAACAATACAAATTAGATGGTGAAAATGAGACAGAATAAATGTTTTCATCTTTTCGCTGCCTGGAAACTTGATGTTGGACTATACTGTGAATTGCATTACGCCCCAACGCTATGGATGGTTTTGTGTGCGTGTATACGTGTGTTTGCGTGCGCATGTAATGTGTCCGTTAGTAGTGAAAGCTGCGTGTCCAGGGACAGTGTCCTTCCTGGGCCCCCTCACCTACAGGAGGCTTCCCCACCGGTCATCAGCGCAAGCCCGAGTTCAGCCCCTGCAGTGTCTCAGAGCAAACACAGCACCAGCACGACTGTGAGTCCCACTGCCTCTTTCCCACCATTACTTTTACCGTGTTACTACAATCAGCAGCAGCAGCAGCTCAACCAGTGGATTGTGTGCATGTTCACTACAGTTATTATTGATGTGGTTATTTTGTACACTGTCCAATTAAGGTAGAAAGCGTCATTACATTAGATGTGTCCATCTGCAAGGTGCAATATGAACTCAACTTTTGTATAAAGTTGTTTGCTATTATTGGCATGATCCAGAGTTCCATAGTTCAAGTATGCAAATAAATTTTGCCCTGACAGTTACCAACATGTGTATTCTGTATTGCTTTTAATACTTCTGAACACGTATGTATGTTGAGCTTCTTTCGCACCGTATGTTGCCAACTGTGCTTGTAATGAATCAGTACTTTCAAACACATGAAGCAATGGTTGAAAATGATAATTGATCAATGAGTAAGCTTGTTTTTTTCTCATCCTTGCTTTGTTTAATCAGGAACCAAAGAAGCTGAGTTATGCCGAAATTTGCCAGAGGCCTCCCAAAGAACCGCCTCCCATGCCTCCACCTTCAAGCGCCAGCAACGGTGTAACGGCGGCGGCCCCAGGGGACGGGGAGGACTGGGAGAACGGTGTGGAGGCGCACGGCGGCGCCACGATGCCGCAGGGTGGCAGCGCCGCCACGGGGCCTCAGGGCGGTGGCGCCACGGGCCCCGGGCCGGCAGAGAGGTGGAGGGGGCGGGACACGCATACGCGACGGCCGCCGCCCGCCTCGTCCCGTCGGTACTCTCCACCCGCGGCGCATGGGGCCGCGAGGCGGCCGTACAGAGGTGGCTACCACGGCGGACCTTTCAGGCCTTACGTGGCGCAGGCCCGGACCCCGCAGTGAGGGCTCTGGCTGAAGAGAGGAGTCCGATGCCGGTGGCCTCCATTGGTGGGGGGGGGGTCGTCTTAGCAAATCTGAAGGGACCCCATTAACATTGAGACTCTTAACACTTGAGAGAGAGCAATGTACGGAGCACAGAGACAAGTGATAGCAACTTGTAAACCTCTTCTTATTCTCCCTAAAACACCACAATGAGCCATATGGGACCTACAGAATGATGTGGATCTATGGAGTGAGCAAATAACTGTGAAGCATGATCGCATGACATTTCGATCTCCAAGGAAGAAAAATGTGACTTTGCTGATCATCGGCCTTTGTGCGCTTGAAGAAAACCTCTTGATTTCTTGAGGCTTTTAGACAATGCACGAGTGAATTGCAGCACTGTTTTGTACATGTGCAGGGGGAGGCTGTTGTCTCGAGGAACCTATTGCAAGCAAGGAGGGGGTGGGTTGGGGGGGAGGCAGTGTGTGCTTGATGGACGTGGTGGGTGGCCCTGTCGAGAGAAACTCGCACCACTGCCACTCGGTGAGCCGCAATGCTGGCAGGCGAGAGACGTTCAATACAATCATCCGGACGTCTCCTGGAAAAGAGTGTAGTGTATATGTAAGCACACTAGCTATGTACCAAAAGCCATTAACTGCTTTTGGGTGGGTGTTTGTTACCTGTGATGTACAAAAAATGAATTCCCTTAATGCGAAGTGTGAACATAGTTGTATTTTTGCGCTACTGTACAGACACCTTAATTGATTTGCTTAGAAGACATTTTTTTTCCGTGAAAGGTTTGAGAGCTGTCACCTTCCAGCGTCCCCTCGTCGTGCCGTCTCTGGGCGGATTGGCGTACGCACAGGGTTTCAGGTGAATATTGTTTCTTCAGTTCAGGAATCGGAGGTTTTGGCTTGGTAGCTACTGTAAAAACATGGGCATCCGCGCACTGTCCCAGGTGTGTCCACAGCTTCACCTGGGCTTGTGTGTCCTGCAGCACTGTCAGCTGATTGTGCCTGAATGCCAGTTTCTTAAATTTCAGACATGCTTGTGTTGCTGTGTACATTTTCAAGCTGGCTTGGTGTTTTTTTATTTACTTGCTGTTATATATCATCCCGCTTTTGCTATACATCACCGTGCTTCTCTTTCTATGTTGCTCACACGCCTATGATGGCGCTTCACAGACGACGCTTCACAGACGACGCTTAAGTAGTTGCTGTGCTTCTCTGCAGGCTGTCTGCGGCCAAATGTGTTAATGTGACCAAAGGCTTTTGAGGCACTAAGCTTAAAGGCCTCCACGTGAGATCCAGAAGACAAAAACGAGCTGCACTCTATAGCTAGGCTATTGAAACTAGTGGCTCAAAGAAAACGTAAATTAAATATAATTTTTTGGCTCGAGATTTTTATTATTATTTCCATCTAGAAGGGTGCGGAAATGTCACTAGCGTGCGTCATCCAGGTGCTCGCAGGAAGGCCTGAACGTTAGAGCGTGAGTTTTTTAATGGCGTTGAATATGAAATGTTCGTATCGGAGTGCAGTGCCTGAAGAAGGCACAATTCCTATTCTACGTTGTTTATCGAACTGCGTTGATTCTAACAAATTTGCCACGAAACACCCCCCCCCTTCCCCACTAGTCTAAATAAATGGTTGTGTACTATGTAAGTCTCCCAAAAGAGGGTATATTTCGCAGCTGTGAGTGATGTCAAACAGCAACAAACTGAGTGGTTTCCCTTTATCATCAATAGCTTGATATTGACCTGACATTTCCTGGAACATGACGCTGTGGGGATTATACTGCTGTGTTATATTCTCGCTCTAAGGTTAATTTTGTAGCAGGTTTCACAATTGTGATCACGTTGCGCTCTGCTTTTGTATAAGAAAAACCCAACTGGGATCGTCAATGTCACATTTTGGGCTCATGTAGCCTTTCTTTTTATAGTTTGACTGTTGTGTACAGTATTCCCTCGCTATTCGTGTGGAATACGCTCCGGAGATGCTCGTGAATAGAAAATTTCGGGGATACTAATAATATTGACCTACGAAAACCTATCTTTAAAAAATACATAAATAAGCTATTAAATACATGAAAAATATGAAAAAAAAATGGTTATATGAAAAAAATTGCTTAAATAAAAAATAATAAAGTATGAAATAATAGTTCATAAATCAACTTGCCTTAAATTATGATGATCCTGCTCATCATTTTATCTCTTTCTCGCCCCACGTTCTCTCTCGTCACTTTATCTCATCACTTTGGATGCAGTAGTCGTGCAGAGTTCCGGATGCGATTTGCGGATAGCCAAAATAGCCAAAATCGCAGATAGCAAGTTTGTGAATAATGAAGGAATACTGTAGTGTTGAACAAGCTGCATGCATAAAGGGAAGGTTTCTGCAATGAAGGTGATTACCCTGACCTTGGCAACATGCATTTTTTTTTTTAAGGCCCCTTTTGTGTTAGGAATCGGCCTCCTCGGTGGCAAGAGCATTGGTGGCCCTGCTGCGTGGAATTTTGCTCTGGGACGGTGGGGGGGATTGATAGCAGGCATAACGCAGATACTTCACTGATGTCCGCGCTACAATTGAGGATGAGGTGTGAGAAGGTTTCCATTTGGCGAAAGGCTTCACTGAACTCGGCGAGCTGCGGAAAACACATTTTAGAGATGACATTTGTATTTACATGCCAGCATTATAATTGGAAAAGGAAGTTTTGCATTGAATATTGATTAATTTTTTAACAGTTATATTACCCAACCCTGCTGCTTGTATGTCAATCAATTACGCATAGTCGCCGAAGGACCGGTGCGTCAAACGTGTGACCTCTTGCGACAGAATTTCTGCTCTCGCTGCCATGCCGGTGTCTCGAGTTATTTGTTTGATCCACGTCTCATGGTGGGGGTGGGGGTGTGGCGGGGGGTGGGGGGGACGACCACGGGGGCGGCGCCATTCTTTAGAGGGTCGCAGTCCACTTACAATGTCAACCGCCAACTGAAGTGCGCAATTTTCTGGAGTTTGCGTGTCAAAACGGGCGACGAGTCCAAAAGGTGACGGCCGCCTTCCCTCGAATTGAGCTCGTGATTGCTCGGGGACTGGTCCTGGATGCAATGGTGGCATTTCTCATGTCCAACCATTTATTTTTCACCGTATGTAGTCAACCGTGCTAATCGGAGGTACAGGGGAAGAACAAACTAAACATAAAAAGCTATAAAGAAATTCGTTTTTAAGAAGGCATCTTTGGCATCGCATTTGGAAGGACTGCAGCCGATGCAAATCCACTTGAAGCATTGTCCAGGCCTCGGCATCATACAACAAAACTGTCAAAACAGCACTGGTAGGCTCAATTTGGTGCACAGACAGACTGGACCATTTCTGGGACTAAATGTGGTCCAGACTGTTCAATATTCCTGAGGCAATGCCGATTTAGCGTATGATATCGGGTCTACATCATCCAACAGTGGTTTGTACAGATTCCAGGTAGACATATTCCTCCAGTGCCTCGACAGTGTTGCCCTCGATAACACAAGGTGCTTCGAGAGGTCTGGAACTCAAGTTCTTCTGGCCTTTTGTTTTCTGCCATGAGACATAAGGTCCCATTTTCCTCGCATTGTGCAAGTTTTGGGGGATCGGTGTGAATGTTTCAGGCTTCTCAATAAACAAAGCTGCATTAATGGTGTAGTCGAGGTCAGTCAAGTGGTGTCGGCCAATCTTTACTCCAAGGTCATTGGTCACGTTTTCAAATGATTCAGGAAATAGCTCGACAGAAGAGCACCGGTGCGTTGACGCATCCTTGACGTACTCCAGATGTCGTCTCGAATCGTGGTGAGAATTCTGACCCGACACGAACCTTTGCGCTTGTAGCCTGTGTGCAGATTTTTCCAGCAAGATGCCAGGAATCCCAATCCCTCTCAAGACAGAGCAGATCGTGGATGGATCCACAGAGTTAAAATCCGCCTTCAACTCAATCTAAGCGACACGGAATAGGCAGTCGACCTCGCAGTGCAGTTCTGCAAGTAGGCGGAGTGCAAGGACAGCAGCATCGTTGATCGACCAGCTGTGATTCCTGATCGCTGTGGGCGACTGTTTTGCAAGCAGCCTGCCCAGAATTACTTGAGCCCAAACCTTTCCCGGTCTCGAAAGTAGGGATATAGGTCTCTAATTGCTGCATGCCATGCAGGATTCCTTCCCTTTGCAGAGAAACAATTATACTCTCTCTCCAATCGGCATTGTACTTTGCCGCACATCCCGACCTTGATTAAAAGCTCATGTAAACTTCTGGTGATTGGATGCAGAGCACCTTTCAACGGTTCTGGAGAAATACCATCTAGCCCAGCTGCTTAGCTTGACCGTTTTTCATTTTCATGATGGCATGCTGAACTTCCTCTGGAAGTAGGTGATGTTGACCTCCATATTACGCGATGGTTGCGCTGTCAACAGTGGCTTGACCACTACCTGTGAGTTTGACCTCGGTAATACTGGAGATAATGTTATATTTGGCCAGTTTGTGTACGATGGCCTTTCATGGAGAGTACCTTCCAGAAAAGTAACCGGGAACAGTGCTTGCAGGTCTGGCTTGACCTTCCACAGCTGGACTTTCAGTCATGCCAGTCATCCAAGCATTTCGTGCTCGTCGACAATGAACACCGTTTAAATGAGGGCCTGAAACCAGGTGCTTTAAGGTTGTCTTTTCATTTCACATGTTTGGATTATCCAGAATACTCTGGCAGGGGAGGTGGAGAGTGCAGTAAAAGAGAACAGCTTTTCCATTGATCCAGAGAGCAGCTTCTGCCGAAGGTGCTAGAGACTAATCTGCTGCCCGATATCCACAGCCGTTGAGGATGCAGGTATCCACTTCTGCCTGTTCTGCCGTTTTGGAACGTGTGCTAGAGTCCCGTCGGCTCGGGTATTATCAGGGCTCTCCTAACAGGCCATCATGGCGACAGTAGCGGCCCCACTGTACTTGACCCTGTGAGGTACGATGGGCTGCCATTTCCCAGGTCCCATGATGTGGATTGGGCCAGGGGGTGGACTTTTGGAACCTTTGTCAATGTTACAAAAATACCTGGTAGCATTTACTTGCCAAGGCAGATTTGAAGGAGATTTTAATTGGTTTGCAGAATGTCTTGAGTTAAATGTATTTTTACGTGGAGTTTGAAAGTTGTGTTTCCCACATCTTGCAAGTGTCCCCTCAAGTAAAGTACACACAGCTAGAACCTTTTTTTTACTTTGTGACAATTGCATCAAGCAAGCGCAGCACTGAACAGTTTGTGCCAGGCCTCGGTAATCTGTGGTGGAAAATGGTAGGAATGTACGCATTTGAGTTGGTCCGAATTAGAAGGACGTAATGCTTGTTTGGGAGATTCATAAACCCTCGGCTCCAGTGCCCATGATAATATTCCCCACAACTGCTTTTTGCTAACAATACAGATTTCTGACATGTAGAGGTGGTGACGGTCAAACTCATTCAGATTTCTCCTCATCAATTGCTTGACGTTATGTACTGGAAGTCACAGCTTAGGCACCTGTTGATTGAGGTTTTTTTTTGCATATCTGTGGAGCTTACCATGTTTACCGGGTTTATTTAATTTAAGGTTAATTTACTGTCTTGCACTGGTTGATATTGAGTGTTGCATTGTATATGGAGGGAGGGAGCAACATGTCAAAACCCTTGCAGGAGCCAGCAAGCCGAATCACCAGCTTGGAGCACACGTGTATTGGATTCGAGTGATTGGCATGTAAACCGGACCGCTGGGGCACCAAAACCACAAATTATACCCTCATTATTTACGCTGAATACTACAGCCTCACCCCCCCAGTTGTGTTTTCATTAAATAGTTCTCGTGACGTAGCGCTGCGTCTAGAGTATACTGTCTGATGCCGTGTAAGGTTGTATTGCCGGGGATCTTCCATCTCTAGCCCCACCCAGTTATGTGATTTTGATTTGTTTGTGTCTGGCCTCCTTCCCCCCCCCAATAACACACAGAGAGAGGGACTCTGCCCCAGTGAAATTTGCACCCAATTTACTTGCGATTGGGATGGGTTCTTTTAATGTGCTTATTTTGTGTAGCATTTAACATTTGAAGTTGTTGTCTAGACCAAACTTTAATTTGTTGCAGAGGGCATGGCGTGGGCATGTTATGAAGTGAAGGCACAGTACTTGAAAAGTGGAAGTTAAGCCTCTTCCCTCTGCTTTTATTTAAAGAAATAAAGTATAAAATACACAAACACACAATGTTTTATTAACCAAAGGATTGTTTGCTGGAGATGTGGCAAACAAACATCGTGTTGCATGTTTTGGGTTACAAATGGCACACCAGCCGTGCCTAGTTTCGTCTGATAAATTACACACATTAAAGTCCTGGCGACAATGGTTTCAGTGCACTAATGTGTACAGGGTTAATGAGGATTTGTATATAAAATGCAATCGAAGCTGCCAAAATGTATTTCGGACAAGGTGTGCGTTTCGGCTGTTTTACGCATTTCAAAGTTGATTAAAGCTCTGGAAACAGGGGCGGAGCCAGGATTTTCAGCCCGGGGTGACATTCAACAAATTTTAATTTCAAGAATGATTAGAGAGTCAGGCTGTTGAACTAGACGCCATCGGTTGGCGACACACTCTGACAATGCAGTTGCACGGAGTCCGCCAGACCGAGTTTTGTACAC